CCCCGAGTAGTACATTGACAACAGGTTCAATTAATGCAGATTTACAACACTATTCAAAAGTGTAAGCTGACTGACTGAGGTCTGGAAACGTGTGTGAGGGGTCTTATAAATTGACTTTAATTTCAATTCACAGAAATGCAAAAAGCTTTCATAATAGAAAACCTCTGGAAAACTAACAGGGTTTGATAAAATTAGTCTCTCCAGGCAGTGCTACACAAAATTGGCCCACGTTGTTACTCTATGCTCGTGCTATCGACCACAGGTCTGCCCAGATTCGCGGGGAAGCCGCTTTGATTTCAAAAATTAAGTTCAAAGGGGTATTGTTTTTTATCTTTGTTACTTAATGCCGAAGTAGTCACTATTCCAGCTATATGACGGTGTTCTGTAAATAATACAGCCTGGATACAGCCTATTACAACCAACATAACACAACAATCTATGCTGATGGTGTACAGTGGCACACAATCAACCAGGACACCCAGCCGAGCACCTGCTTCATTTCGCCTCTTACAACCAACATAACACAACAATCTATGCTGATGGTGTACAATGGCACACAATCAACAAGGACACCCAGCCGAGCACCTGCTTCATTACCACCATAAGTTGGGATCTTTTTTAACCCAGAATCTCCACAGGGATTAAAGGGGGATTTTGAGGTCAAAGATAAAATGTTTACATAGCTCTCCCAGCTTCAGCCAACTGCTGATTGGACCCCAAAATGTCTCTGCATGTAACTGACATTATTGACAACATGTCAAATACACAGGACTTGTGACAATACCCTGTGCAGTGTGACCCTCAATAACCCACAGGCTAATGTGCACAGCCACAGGAGACTATAGCTCACCTGGTGAGAGACTCATTCTGGATGCTGCAGTCACCATCACTGTCATGGATACAAGTGATGTGGACAGGGTTTATAACAGCAAGGCAGCATGACCACTGATCCTTTTCAACTGATGATTTTCAGACCTCTAGCCATCTGAGACAGCTGCTTAGGGAAATGCTGGAGACACGTTTTTCAATATGCATGTACTGTTTTATGTTTGACATTTAACAAAATAAATCTATCTTTCCATTGCTGGAATGTAACTGGGCACTAAACTAGCCTGCTAGCCTCAGTTTGCAGTAGAATTTTACATTTTTAAGGGGTTGTCCTTGTATGTTATCACTGTTAGGGCCAGTAATGGAAAGGCCACACATTTTTAATTGAATTTTTAATTTTAATTTTAATTTTTAATGCTGAAAAGTGGCTGGTCCAGAAAAAAATTAAACATGAAAATATCTATTTCTATAATGTATCCTGCTAGTAATAAAGACCCTCTTATACAATAAAACATTAATATATAAATTCCATGTCTTCATCACTATCAGTGAGTCAAGAGGCCACCTGCAGTTTTAACTCCACAGCAGACTGACTTTCAAATAAATAAATAAATAAATAAATAAATAAATAAATAAATAAATAAATAAATAAATAAATAAATAAATAAATAAATAAATAAATAAATAAATAAATAAATAAATAAATAAATAAATAAAGTGTGGCCTAAGCTGGATCCCTACCAATGGTTGTAATTTAACAAAATAAAACACAATAATTAAATATGAATAATACCAATAAGTGTTTTCAAACTTAACCATCAACATGCTGTCACAACACACAAAGTGTATTATGTACGTTTTGTGCATAATATTTTTGTCTTATTTTTACAGCCACTGGTATCCGAAATTTCACAAATTCAAAATGAAATCTTACAAAGCCAACTGTACTTGAGCTTGTTATAAAGGGTCGTAATAATTGTTTTCTAAATCACGTCCAACACACATAGTTCATGTTCCACATACAGCACAATACAAGTGGCCTATTCACATAAATCACTCTACCAGAACAGCAGCTGCAATACGACACACTACGTCTTACTGATTGACGGTCTCTGTTTACTGCAAGTCATTAGTTAACTTATGAATGAAAACCCCATTGAAAAATACAGTCATGTATAAAACAGAGGTTTCTGCAAACACAAATGGGTGTTTGATGAAGGGCTACGAGTGACGTAAATCCGTGGGTAAACTCTCGTGTTTACACATGGCCGCCCGGCGACCTCGGTATTCCGGGATGCAATGCCACCTACATGCACAGTTATACTTTTTACCACACTTAACTTTTACTCTGAAGGAAAACACCAGCCTTTGATGTTTCACACTATGTTTGGGCACAAACATTTAAAAACATCTGTGAGGGAATTGAAGAATTTTTAAAGCAAGGTGAACATTAAGAAGATTGTTTTAAGTAGCTGCTTACATGTTATACAGAGATCTCATTAAAATGTAATTTGACTAAACAAAATCAGTTTCTATACATATCAGCTCTTCTGACATTTGACACTATCATATGCTATATAGTCCATTATCCAGACCAGATATTGGTACAACCTGGGGTGTCAAAATATCATTATGATTTTTTGAAAGTCATATAACCAAAGATGAAAATAAAACTTTGAAAGCAATACGGGACTCACCTCTAAGAGGTAGTATTCGCCACATAAACGCAGCCACCTGAGTCAAATCGGAGGGACCAGATTTCGGGATAGGGGAAGCTAGAGAGTGGAATACAAGCAATACTAACATAGTGAAGTATGACCTCTCAAAATGTTGGTAGCCTGATGCTCTATATGTTGGCATGTAATATTGGGCAATTATATAGGCCACCAGAGGTCAAAAGGTCATGAAATTTGACCCCTGCCAAAATTCTTTCCACCTGTCAGAAAATACACTGCAGATACCACACCAATGGGACTTTCTTAACCCAAATAGGCTATAATTTAAGCCAAGAAGTACCAAAGTCTAATAAAATTCTGAAAAAGTGGAATTTATAGTCTTTTGTGATGTGGTACACGGTTTTTAAAGCATGTTTTACTGAGTAACTAAAAAATGTGTGACAGCACTCCAATATGCAGCCATAGTTGTATATCAAGCAACACATTTCTGTTTTGGGGGAATGTGAAAATTGTTTGGAAAGTCCATTACAAACCATCCAGGCTTAGTGGTGTTAGGAAACTAGGGCCTCACTCCAATGCAGGAGGCTAGATATACAAGGATCTAGGCTATCAAGTGTCTAGCCATTGAGCCAATGCTACACATGGTGCAGGGGTGAGGGTATTGTCTTCACAAGGAGGATAGTCTTAAGCAGCCTACCCCACAATTCAACCGGAACATATACACTGTGACATCACCCAACTCACACCAATAGCTGGAGATCTATTACATAATTGGCTTGTAGAAAGGTAGACATGTTTCAAAGTAGGTCATCTAAGTTCCTGTTTGAAATGTTCAGAATTTCTTAACCCTAGATCTTCAAGAAGTCTTAAAACATCAATGAATGCACACAAAAGTCCTAAATCACATCATACTGAGAGCATCTTATCACATTAATGAGAGTGAGTGAGTTAAGTTTAACTCTCCTTTCAATATTGTTTCCAAGACTACCATCATTAACTAGTTCACTGTACCATAATTAATTAAATGATATGAGATGAGATTAGGAGAAATTGGGCTTAATGTCACATTCAAGATTATTGCACTTATAGTTGGTTGGTTTGTTTGTTGTTTAACGCCGCACTCAGCAATATTCCAGCTATATGACGGCGGTCCGTAAATAATCGAGTGATTGATATCATGACCATCGATCCATGCAATTGGGATCGATGACATGTATCAACCAAGTCAGAGAGCCTGACCACCCGATCCTGTTAGCTGCCTCTTATGACCAGCATAGTCAGCTTTTACGGCAAGCATGGGTTGCTGAAGACCTATTCTACCCTGGAATCTTCACGGGTCATTGCACTTATAAAGTGCTGTGTATACATGTGTGTGTGCTTGCCTGCTTGGTCTTGTCGGGACTTGTGCCTGTTTTATAGTGCTAGCCCACCGAGATACCATGCCACAGTTTAACATGGGCACTGATTCCAGCCGACCAGTTCTTGTTGTATCCTCTTAATGCTGAACGCCAGGCAGGGTAACAAGTACCATCTTTTGGTATGACACAGGGACTTAACCACCTATCTTAGCGACTTAACCACCGATCTCCTCTCTCCGGGGAGATGCTCTATCCACTAGACCACAGAGGCAGTTTGGGCAGATGCTCTATCCACTAGACCACAGAGGCAGTCTGGGCAGACGCTCTATCCACTAGACCACAGAGGCAGTCTGGGCAGACGCTCTATCCACTAGACCACAGAGGCAGTCTGGGCAGACGCTCTATCCACTAGACCACAGAGGCAGTCTGGGCAGACACTCTATCCACTAGACCATGGAGGCAGTCTGGGCAGACACTCTATCCACTAGACCACAGAGGCAGTCTGGGCAGACACTCTATCCACTAGACCATGGAGGCAGTCCGGGCAAACGCTCTATCCACTAGACCACAGAGGCGGTCTGGACAGACGCTCTATCCACTAGACCACAGAGGCGGTCCGGGCATACGCTCTATCCACTAGACCACAGAGGCTGTCTGGGCAGACGCTCTATCCACTAGACCACGGGGGCGGTCAGTGATGTAGGTTTATACTACTACAGTACTGCAGTAATAAATATGTGCTAAGACACGGGGGCAGGACACACATACAGGAATATAGACCCTAGGTAACCTCATGATGTACATGCAACTGTCCACAAGGCCTTCTATACCCAACCAGCCAACCTACACCCTGTGGTGTACCTTTTTCCATTTCCATACCTGCCCCAAGGAAACTGTCAGAGAGAGCCACTGATTGTTCAAGACAGTACAATCTGCGATCGTAGCCTCAGAGATAAACCAATCAGAACTCTCCTCTCATAAAGCAGACTGATACTAAAGCAACTGGCCCAAAGCCCAAGTGTAGACTAATTTCGTTAGTCTTTTATTCCAATAATCATGACCAGGATAAATCAAGCATTATGCATGTGACGTTGCTGGAATGTGAAGTGTCCGGTCTACAAGGGTTCTCTGTCCTCACCTTTATCGTAGTCTGCTAAACACAGGGGCCGCATCACCAGATTGTCCCCAGGATGAGCCGGGGAGACTGGAGGCTTGTACTGGGCGGGAGACTCAGAAAAATCGATCAGTTTCAGAATCTCGGGGTCATACTGATAGCATTCTTGCCCATCCACAAGGCCGTTCTGAAGGAAAAGAAAAGCACTTGTTAATCAGTCATGAAAAAATAAGTAATAACAAGCATAAAATACTCATATCCCCCGCCAATATGACATTTTTGGTTATGTACAAGAAATATTGTACATGTTGTAGGGTGTTCAAGATCTGCTCCGGAAACGAAAACTACCAACAAAGTTGTTGCTATGGAAACTCGAAAAATAAATTTTCAAAAATCCCAAACTATCAAAAGGTACCAGTTTACCACTAGGCCTATCTATGTGCCAAGTTTGGTGAAGAATATTGTACAGTTTTCAAAATCTGCCCCGGAAAGTAGCACGCACCACCACCATTTTCAGTAAAGTTGCTACCATGGAAACTCGAAAAAATTTCAAAAATCCCAAACTATCAAAGGGCACAGTTCACAACTTGACCTTCCTATGTGCAAAATTTGGTTAAAATATCTAGATCTTTTTTTAGTTCTGCTCTGGAAATGAATGTGACAGACAGAAAGCACCCATTCCTATATCTCTCTTCCACTTCGTGTCAGGGCATGTTTAAACCGATATTTAATTATTAAACCCAATGCCGACTCCCCAAACCATCCATACCATGCCAACATTAACACTAAACGATATAAAAGCACAGGCGAAGCATAACACGACCAACACATGAACACTAGCTGTGTACAGTAAAGTGACATTAACATACAAAACAAGACTATCCAACTCATTATCTGCTTCATCAATTCACTGAAATTCATACTTACCACCACAATATTATCTTCCATTTTGTACACAACACTTTCGTAACAGACCTCGATTCAACAAATAATGAACCGCATCACCAGCTTCAGTTTATGAATGTGACCACCATGTCTTTCAATGATTCATTAGTATATTTCCATAACGACCAGGCAGTCAACACAATTGGTCTCCTAAGGCCTACATAGTGTGTGTGAAAAAGATTATCAATTAGGGATTCATTCTGTTAGACTTCAGTAGAACAAACATCTATACATTCTTGTTTAATTCCAGTTAATACTGCTAATCCACAAAGGTCCTGAATTTCCCAATATAAATAAGGCTACAGCCTACACAGCCTTATTTCTGGTCTGCAATGAGCGAGCTCAGCTATTTACTTCCTGTCAAAATGTTTAAGATATGTTCACCAATATTTGTGATGCGGACAAGATAACTTTTATCCTGCCCTTCCCCTTTTTAAGTTACGCTGCTGCAAAAACCTCATTGTAATATGTTTTCCTTCAGCAACCATGATTTTTAAGCCATTTTCTCAAACCTTTGTGAAACATGTTATCTTTCTGATTATTAGTAAAGTTGCCTTTTCCAATGACCCTGAAAAAACATCTGCCCCTCAAGTCCCCGAACAGTGAACATGGTATATCTGCCAGTGGTGCTCAGTAGGTGAAGGTCAGTCACTGGTTCAAAAAATTTTAGGCTGTCATGAGGTAGTCCTTACAAGTTTCAAATTGACCATGCATCCACATAAATTATTCTACATTCAAAAAAAAGGAAACAAACTTTATAATGAGATTTGCTTAACTATGTGTTGGAAGCATGTTTCATTAAATAGTTGGGGTGAACTGATTCCTGAGAGTTAAGTGACTATAAAAGTCCAATTTCCACCCTTGCCAAACTAGGCTGGGATAATGGAGTTACATGTTGGCTTGACAAATAAGTCTATGCATAGTCCAATCAAAATCACGTAACAAATTAGATGTCTGATATGTAAACAACATGGACATCAACGTGCCGATTTCGGTCAATTGTAGGATTTGCAAAGCATGTGTACCGCCAACTGGGCTTGGACAGATATTATGGAAATGTTTTCATGTTCTTAATCAAGGCGCTCACGAGATTTGATATACTTAGCGGGGTAAGACCCGTTTTATCACAACATAGATTTTGATTATTGATCAGATCATCTTGACTTGTACCACCATTTTGTTTGAAGCAAATGCAAGTGATATGAGCGGTGGAATCTGATTGGTCAACAGGAGGGACATGGAAGGGACATAACTGGTTATAGCCACTGGTGATGCTATGATCCAGCCTGGAAATTCCAGCCTAGTTCGGCAAGGGTGGAAACTGGACTTTTACAGTCAGTTAACACACTTGCCTCGGGAAGATGACTAATTCTTTCAATGCAAAACCACTAAAAAAATGTATGGTTAAATTTTTATGTCAAATGCTCTCAAATTCCAGGTTTTTAATGCAAACTTCAACATAATGTAGTGGTCAACCATATTTTAGCAAGAACACATTGCCAGACCTATAGTTGCGAACATGACCTGGATGTGGAAGAAGTTAGAATACTCCAATCCAGGGTATAATAGGTCTTCAGCAACCCTGCTTGCCGTAAAAGGCGACTATGCTTGTCGTACGAGGCGACTAACGGGATCGGGTGGTCAGACTTGCTGACTTGGTTGATGCATGTCATCGTATCCCAATTGCGTGGATTGATGCTCATGATATCAATCACTGGATTGTCTGACCCAGACTCGATTATTCACAGACCGCTGCCATATAGCTGAGTGTGTCAATTAACAACAAACAAACAAACATTGTTAATCTTCTACCTAGCTGTGTATACATCAAAGAAGGAACATGGGTAAGAAAGACACCAAGGCAGACTAATGCTGAATAGATCGATATCAGTAAATACACTGGAGAATAGAACCAACATGTGAGGTGATCACTGTACATCTTTTGAATAAAAAGCGGAATATATTGAAACTGTTTAATGTTTAAGCACATTGGGGGTTAAAATACACTGGAAAAGTTCATATTCTGCGGGTAAGTCAATACATATTGGTACATGAATACACAACCACTGCACCATACATTGTATGCTTGAAGTGATACATTGGTGCATCGTAAGTTTTCATGAGATGATACGATACATGATACATTTTCTTCTGTATTCATACAAGATGGCACACTTTCTAAAATATATCACTTACTACTCGTTTAATGACCCCCAAGCAATTTTGTCAGTCAAATATGGCAAATGTGTTGAAGTTAGCATTTCAAGTTCATTACTAAAACAGCACCCCATGTTTGCCATAAAAGGCAACTATGCTTGTCATAAGAGGCGACTAAAGAGATCGGGTGGTCAGGCTTGCTGACTTGGTTGATGCATGTCATCGTATCCCAATTGCGTGGATTGATGTTCGTGATATCAATCACTGTATTGTCTGGTCCAGACTCGATTATTTAAGACAGCTGTCATATAGCTGGAATATTGCTGAGTGTGGCGTTTAAAAATAAAATTTAAAAAAAATCACAACTAAAAATAGCAGCTACGAAACATGTGTCTACAGCTAGCTTTTCCTTTAGAACATGCTCTGAAATATTTATAGTCAAGAAGTTTCTAGCAATTTGACGTAAATACGTGTTTCGCAATAAGTATTGTATCGTTATGTATGTATCAAGATACGTATCGTACCGTGACCTTGCTGTATCGTTTCACCCCTTATAAATTGTTTCGATAAAAGTGTAGACACTTTGGGATGTAGGCACATTGGGCACACACCAGCTGTGTACTAGCGGTCAGATGACTACTGAGTAAAATGATCCCTGTGTCGGATATAATGAGACTAATTAAAGGGTGATTTCAGCAATCCATTGCAAAATAAGTATATCAGGGTCGGAGTGCAAACTATGGGATTAACGGGTCTAAATAGCAGTGATATAACTGGTTCCTATCATTAGTCTCGCATTAAAGCCGATCGTCGGAATAACAAGTGTCGGATTAACAAGACTTTGTGGTACTTACTGCATCGTAAATTTCTTAACGATACATGCAAAAATGACTGAGTAATTGGCAAAACTAACATTTTCACTACAGGTGCAATGTCATAATGTGCATCAGTTTTCTGTAAGCAAATGTAGGCAGAGTGAGTGAGTATGATTCTACACTGCTCTTTGCAATATTCCAGCGATATCAAGGCTGGGATAACAAGAAATGGGCTTCACATATTGTGCCCATGAGACGAATTGAACCTGGGCCCTTGGCATGACGAGGTGAGGTGAAATGGGGTTTAATGTCGCGTCCAAGATTATTGCACTTATATAGTGACGTGCATGCACGTGTATGGCTGCTTGTACAAGTCCGGACTGATGCTGATTTATAGTGCTAGCACACTGAGATACCATGCCGCAGTTTAACATGAATACCCCACTCAGACACAGTATACTGACTCCGAGCCGACCAGTCCTTGTTTTAGCCCCTTAATGCTGAGCGCCAGACAGGGTAACAACAAGTACCATCTTTTAACATCTTTTGGTATCACGCGGCTGGGGATCGAACCCCGGACCAAATCCGCTCTCCGGGCGGACATTCTACCATTAGACCACAGAGGCGGTCCCTTGGCATGACGAACACATAATTTAACCAATAGACTATCGATACACCATCCAAATATACCTAGAGATTTCATTTAAAAATACAGTAAATGTAGACATGCTAGATAAAAGCCTTATATTTCTTCACCTTATTCACTACATAAAAAGCACCCAGGGCGCTCTCAAAATTAGAAATAGTGGGCTCTTATTAGAATATCATTTTGGTGAAAAAAACAGAGCTGAAAGATAAATTTCATGGCAGCCTGAATTGTTTATGTACAACAAATATATTTTTCCAGAATTTAATTCCCCATAATGAAGGTGCATATAACACACGAGTGCATATTATATGCGCATTAATAGGTCTTGTGTACATTGATCAATCGGAAGGGGTGCTAATTGGTATTGTTCACTCACCAATATATTAGCAAATATCCCTGAGGGGTTTATTAGAAAGGGGCGCATATTGCGTCGAATACGGTATATTTATTGTCTCTCACGACTGGCATGAATATATCTTAACCTATCATTATACTATAGATCCTATCAATGTTCAAATTTCACGACTTCTTACACATTTTTCACAAACTGACTTTTTATAAATTAAAAAAAAAACTACATTTGTAAACTTAAATATGTTAACACCATGAACAAATATAACAGATGGATAAGCTCACATATAGACCTTTGATCCTGGTCATAATTCGTTTTATCTTTACTAATAATGACTGGCATGAAAGATGACTTCCTGGTTAGCTCTCAGTGTTATCTGAACCCCACTTGACAATCCCTTCAAATAGATTACTATTAAGAGACACCTTCCCATAACCACACATGCGCTACATCAGCAATTAATTAAGAAATAAATGACGAGTGGGAGTAAAATAATACACTGCAGGGAGAATAAACCATGAGGGGCCTCTCCAGCTTTGAGATGCGATCGTTCAGCCATCATATTTATCTGCGTTACCCAGCTACGTCTATGGGGAACAACTCACTAGACACTCCTCTCTCAAAAATAATGTCACCATATATACAGTGTATCAAGTTACAAGCACATGTTCGAATCTCCAGAAATGATTGAGTGAGTGAGTATGGTTTTACGCCGCTTTTAGCAATATTACGACGGGGGACACCAGAAATGGGCTTCACACATTGTACCCATGTCGGGAATCGAACCCAGGTCTTCGGCGTGACGAGCGAACGCCTTAACCACTAGGCTACCTGACTGCCCTCCAGAAATGACGTCATGGTGGAAAAATGTTTAATCGTGAAAAATACCACATTTCGTTCTTCACTGTTCTTTATGAATTATTGCGCAGCTATCTTATATTGTGGACAAAGACCGATAACTGGAAATAAGCCAATACTAACTTTTAGACCAAAGCTGTTCATCCTTAGATGAGAGAAATAGAATCTAATTGAAATATAATACAAAAAAACAAAAAAGGTTTCGTCAAAAGCAAACAATTATGAATAGTATTAAAGACTATAGAAAGTCTACTGAAAGTGAAGCTAAAATGCTCGAAATCACTTTCAGTAGACTTTCTATTAATAAATTCACACAATTTCATAATAATATACAACTTGCGGCCTACATCCACAGTGTTGGTATTCGCCTTGTTGCATTAAATATTAAATTTCAATTCACCGAAATACGGGTTTGGGTCGAAATCAATATCAATCTTACTCTAGATATATATATGTGCCACTCCAAGCACCTGTCACCACAATAATAACGTGTCAGCCGTGTCGAGGCTCTGGCTGTCAACAAATCGAATGGTCGAGTTCTTACCTCAGTCTTACTTCCACTCTCGGTCGCCATCTTCAATCGTCTGTACATGCCACAGAGAGTTAGGTTCTGTCAACGTGTCCGGGTTTCAAGTTTAACCCTTTTGTCAATAAACATATCCACGTCGCGATCGATCACGACTTCAAGTGACATGCGATCCAACACTGGAGGTAGCGCTGCCCTTCCCGGTTTGTTAGGCTTCCTGTCATTGGTCAAGCAGGTGCGCTATGGCCTTTCGTGACCCCGGCTGTTAATCTCTAAACAGACTAAGATAATCGGATCAGCTGCAGTAATGATAAGACAACATTTATTTGCAGTAACAGCTATGTGTAATCTTTTAATAACTATTTTAGGATATAGAGGGAGGTATTATGACCAAATATAACAATATCTGTGGAATTTTGGTCCTTAATTAATTTTAAAGATTACTTTCAAAATGGCTGCGCCCTTGAGGCGTGTATTTGCCAAACATGCCGCTGATTTTCGTGATTTTATGTGTGACATGCCCTTGTCATCTGTGTTACCTTTTTGTAGTCGATGCTCTGAAAGGATGTACTCATCAATAATTCTGAAAAGATGTGGTGTTCCCAATATGAGTACACTTACTGGACGTTCGAACTTCAAACTCGTCACAAACTGTCGAAATGCGAGTTTATTTCACGTTGACCGTGGTCCCTACTCACACGCAAAACAAAAGTATGGAAATAAACAGAACAATGTCTCGGTCTCCAACAATATCATGCAGGCAGCTAATGTCAGTGTTCAGAGAAACTTTGCATCACTTATATGTCGGAGAAATGAGACAACTGTGTCTGTGATATCGACCATTCTTCACAAACAGTCCGGCACCGATTGTAGAAGATTAAAAGTTGATGTTTTATGTAAAAACATAAACAGTGGTGCTGGGAAACAACTGAAAGAAGCAACAACCTCGTCCCCGGTATATTCATAGCTCAAATACAAAGCATGTACAAACCCCCCAAAATGATATATAAGCCTACTGCCCCTTTTATTGTACAATCACTAGTAACATATGCATGGTTCATTCAAAGGGGTGCAGGCTAAAACGGCACCCCAGCAAAACGTCACCGATTTCTCTGGCGAAAACGTCTACTATGTGTCGGGCGAAAACGGCACCTCTATTTTTAATAAGGATAAGAACGATTTTTGTAGTAATATATATATATGGTTTATTTACATGGTCACAGTTATCACAGCATGTTGTTGTTTTCTGACATTCTTCTCTCATGCAACACATCGAAAGGCCATTGTGAATAATTGTGATCTGACAGCACCATGTTAGGCCTCTTAAATACAGTTTCAGTTTAAATTGAGTAAAGGTACTTAAAACTTGAAAGCGTATAGTGTTTTCACATTAAGTTAACTGCGCCTCCCAATCAGTCGGCGAGTAAATTGGATTAGATGTTTAATTTCTTACTTGTTTTATTTCACAATTTCACAATTATTTGTGTTTGTAAGAGACGACTTGAGTTTAATTTCTATTATTTTTCTTCAAAGCATGTCATGTTTTCACAATAAGTTGTGTTGCGTATAAGCTAAGTTGGATTATAGTTGGAATAGAGGCTAATTTCTAATGTACACTTGTTTTAGCATGTCACAATTATTGGTGTTTGCAAGTTACCATATAAGTTTAATAGCACTAATTTGACCAAGGTAAAAGAAAAAATAAGGTGCCTTTTTCGCCAGGCCACAGTAGCCGTTTTCGCTCGAGTCGAGGTGCCGTTTTCGCCAATCGGTGACGTTTTCGCCCGGTGACGTTTTGCCGAGGTGCCGTTTTCGCTATAACCCATTCAGAGGGCCAAGGGGAGATATGGTTTCTCAGAGTTGATTTCCCTTATGTCATGGATGTCTTTGATATAGATATATATATATTGATATATAATGATATATATATATATGATGTCAAATCTTGGATATATATATTCAGGGTTAGAACTAAACTCAAAAGTTTTACTTGCCTGGATAAACATGGTAAAGAAGAAATGCCCTGCTAAACGTTAAAACAATGGGGAAATTTGTACTTAAGTACTGTCGGAAATGCTAGAAAAATGCCTTTTGCCTGTTAAAAAAGGATAGAATTTTTCACAGACCTTTGTCATTGAAATATTGAGTAACTACCGATCGACCTATCTGTGGTTTGAAGTATTTCAGTCACAAGGAGTCCTATCGATAAGTTTACAGGAGATAAATTCAAACGAAGTTCACATTTATTCAAAGTCTAATGATAGCAGTCTCAAACATACGCATATGCGTTATAAAGATGCTAATGTAGTCTTCCTAAAAATCTAATCCACACACAAAAATCATTGGGAGAAAATTCTAGATGTGCATCTTCTTAAATGACAAGGGGCGGTCGGGTAGCCTAGTGGTTAAAGCATTCGCTCGTCACGGCGAAGACCCGGGTTCGATTTCCGACATGAGTACAATGTGTGAAGCCCATTTCAAGTGTCCCCTGCGTGATATTGCTCGAATATTGTTAAAAGCAGCATAAACATGGTAAAACCAAACTCACTCACTCTTAAATGACAAAATAACTCTGCGTTTGTTTTGTCAACACTGCTCCCATGATGCATGTTACATTACACTTGCATAGCCATAGCCATGGTACACGACATGGAGTCTGTACTAGGAAATGTATACAAGTTCTTTACACTTGAGAGAAATAGAGAGAAACCATTAATTTAGATAGGGTGAATTACCAAACTGCCCAAGCTATGGGGTTTTCAATTCACACCATCAAGTCTATGGTATGATAAATAAAACAAAACAGGTATAGGGGTGGTCTCAAAAATGAAATCGGGACGTAAAAAGATATTCGACAGCCTTGATACAGGGTGATTAGGCGTATAGTGTACAAGTTTTATGAGCAGAAGGTAACCACGACTTGTAGAATTTGGGAGGAAATTAAAGATACAATTAATGTTTCCCCAAGAGATGGGATTTCAATACTCTGAGCGTGGCGATGATCATCAAAATATTCCATCCTATCAATGAGGTGACATTATCTCCGGACCATTCATAACTATCACAGTCAGGTACCCATGGTACCATCAGGTAAAGGTAATCGTGTCATTCTTTTGCACGCCGCAACCCATGGTATGGGGCTTATTGATGGATGTGTGCTAGTTTTCAAGGTGAAAAAGAAAACTGGTGATTTTCATAAGGAAATTATAGGAGGTGATGTGTTCATAGACTGGTTGGAACTTCAGCTATTGCCCATTTTTAACAACGTCAGTGTCACTGTCATGGATAACGCCAGTTAATATAACGTCCCGGAATCAGATACTGTCGCGCCGACCATGAGTAGTCTGAAGGCGACCATACAGGTATATATGACTGTCGACTTCAGACCATCTGAAACGAAAGTTCAACTCATGGAGAAAATTTGACTGAATAAGAAACCAGTAAAGTACGAACCACATGTGCTGGCGGCACAACATGGTTACGTTGTCTTACATACGCCAGTCAGACATTGTGAGCTCAACCCTGTCGTGTCTATATTGGCTACGTGTAAAGGGTTGGTGGCAAGACATAACACGACATTCAAAGGTACAGATTCATATACGTCATCAGTGGAGGTAAATGCTACCTCAAGAAACCATCTGTAGAACAACAAATACTTCTTGATTCCAAAACCACAACCTTTCAATACTCATCCCGTTCCATAGCTTTTAACTATTCCATCATGATTGCAAGCAAATATAATGCAGTATATGTCCTAAATTGCTTCCCCATCAACGCATGTCAATTAACTACAATAACAGCAATATTTTGAGACCACCCCCAACTCAGTGACATTTTCACCTGTGAGAATGCACGGGACGGTGTGAGGTCATCACCTCGGGACAGGTGTCAGGTAATTACCTCAGGTTATAGCCATTTCATAATTGCATGACAACACACAAATATTTTCTAAGTTTATCAATTTACCTGTAAAACTACATTTTAAGGGTAATCACAATGTCAGTCAGGACAGGCTAGATAAGAGCAATTTGCGTTATTTTGATATATGTTCCTTTTACAGTCCTATGACTGGTATTTATTAAATGAAACCAGAAAAGTATTTTTCTAGCATTTCCGACAGTACTTTAGCCCGCAGGAATTTGTACAAGACCTCTAGTGTTAACTTCTAACCCTGGGTGGGCATCTTTCAAAAGACCCTGCTTTAACACATATGCACAGATGTTGATTGATCTAAGTTGTCATATGCACTACCAGATTACCTGTCCACTAAAGTTTGGTTTGTATACATTGGTTGGCTTGTTCTAACGAGAATACGTTAATATCATTTAGTCAGTATTAACAGTTCATGTGTGCTTGGGGGGCACACATAGCCCAGTCGTCTAAGGCGCCGCGATTCGCTTTGCAGAGTTGCGTCCCTTGGGAACTCCAGAAACCAATAATTGTGGGTTCGAATGCCTGTTCGCCCAGATTATGTTTGTAGATTTGTCAGCACCATACCCGTGCTCGTTGGTTTCACCGAAGTGGTAAACGTCTGAGATCTGCATCACTTCGGGCTTTCCTCCCACATTAAGATGACACGCCGTGATATAACTGGAATACTGTTAAAAGAGCCGTTAAACCCAACACACTCACTCATGTGTGCTTGTCGTAAGAGGCTACTTACGGGATTGGGTGGTCAGGCTCGCTGACTTGGTTGATACATGTCATCAATCCCAATTGCATGAATCAATGCTCATGATGTCAATCACTGGATTGTCTGGTCCAGACTTGATTATTTACAGACTGCTGTCATATAGCTGGAATATTGCTGAGTGCAGCATTAAACAACAGACAAGCAAAACAAACATGTTTTATTGATAGTTTATGATACTTATTATAATGACTTGATTTCATGCTGTACAAATCAAATTATTTTCTTCAAACCAATAACCATGATAATGTTATTTAGTTGTGTGAAACTAACCTTTTTGTCAGTTAAAAAGAATATTGCTGTACACAGTATTTCATTATGTTATAAATATCGGAGAAATGTTTTCAGAAGGAGAACATTTACACAATTCCAAACTTGCTGACAGTGGGACGTATGTTATCGGCGCCATTTCTTGGATACATGGTGATGAGTGAGAACTTTGAGTGGGCACTAGGACTCTTTGCCTTTGCTGGTGTCAGTGATTTGGTAAGTTGCCTGGAAGTCTTTAAGAACCATTTTAAGTAACCAAAGACATACATGCATCCATATGCGTCTTTGAATTAACAAAGACAAGAAAGAGAAGGACAAATTCAGCTTGAAAAAGGATGTATCTTGGTGTTTGCAAAATCAAGTTTTTGGTGAACAGTAAAATAAGAAAAAGAAGTGGACCAAAAGAATCGCTTCTCATTGGCCTCTGAAACAAACAAATTACCCCCCTTTTCTGAGCTTTGCTGCAATATGGCTCCACTGGACATGGCGATTTTATTTTTGACTAGTGGCACAAATGTTCCAGTTGCCTAAAGCTGTGCAGAGTTGTGTCCCTTAGATGTTCCAGAATCCAAAAAAAATGTTGATTCAAATACAATATTGACCCTGTATATGCCATTTTTCTTCTTTTCCTTTTAAACCATTATCGATTTTATTGTACCCCTCCACTCTGGTTTTAATCTTTTTCAGTTGGATGGTTACATTGCCAGAAACTTCAAGAATCAAAACTCCATCCTGGGTTCTGCCTTAGATCCCATGGCCGACAAAATACTTGTCAGTGTCCTGGTTCTAACACTGACGTCGGTCAACCTTATACCTTGTAAATACCAACTGTATTCTCCAATGCTTGTATTCATTTCAAACAGGGGGCACAGGTGGCCCAGTTGTCTAAGGCGCTGCGATTCGCTGTGCAGAGTTGCGTCCCTTGGGCACGCCCGAAACCTATGATTGTGGGTTTGAATCCCGGTTCGCCCCGATTATGTTTCTAGGTTTGTCAGCACCAGGCCCGGGCTCGTGGGTTTCACCGAAGTGGTAAACATCTGAGACCTGCATCATTTCGGGCTTTCCTCCCATATTAAGCTGACACGCCGGGATATAACTGGAATAATGTTAAAAGCAGCGTTAAACCCAACTCACTCACTCACTCATTTCAAACAGGGTCTAAAATGGTCTCTGCTCAACTTTTACTTGTGTCAAGTTCAAGTGCCTCAAATGTAATAAAAATATATAGGTTCTGGCAGTGTTTGAAATATGTGTCTGGTTCGTAGCCTTGTGGTTAAAGCGTTCGCTCGTCACGCCGAAGACCCGGTTTCGATTCCCGACATGGGTACAATGTGTGAAGCCCATTTCTGGTGTCCCCTGCCGTGATATTGCTGGAATATTGCGAAAAGCGGCATAAAACTATATTCACTCACACACTCACTCCTTATGGCCTGCAGTAAGTTTATGTGTCGACTTATTTGTCACAATTTGCTGCATATATTTTACTAGGCCTGAACATTTTAGTCAGGGTCTGCAGCTTCTAAAGGCTGTGGGTCCTGATGGTAGCCATGCAATATTTTTTAATTCCAACCACTGTGTTCTGATATAATAATGACATTTAGTTTCTGAAACTTGGTTGCAAGAGATATGTCATCTTCCTGAGGCAAGGGAGTTAACTGACTGTAAAAGTCCAGGAACCACCCTTGCTGAACTAGGCTTGATCTTAGCAATCTTATTTCGAGTTATGTCCCTTCTATGCCCCCCCTCCCCCCACTGACAACCACCTCCCAATGTGCATCGGATCACTTTAGCACCTTTATAAAAAACACGAAAAAGATTTGGAAAATATCTGTCGACGCCCAGATGAAGGTAAAATGCTGCAATCCTGCAATTGAACAAATTCGTCACAGCAGTTGCCATGTCCATGGGATTTGATTGGACTATGCATAGACTCGTTAGTACAGCCAAAATATTACTCCATAATTCCAGCCTAGTTCGTCAAGGGTGGAAACTGGACTTTTGAAGTCAGTTAACTCCCTTGCCTCAGGAAGATGGAGATATGTATGTATACCATGGTATACATGAGTTGCCCCTTAATATCCATGTCAGTGAATGTTATATTCTACTCAAAAGAAGTTGAAGAACACCCGCTTTTTTAAAATGGCTATAGTTAATCTCTCATGTAATCTCTCATGTGTAATGACGAATTAACTATAGTCATATGAAAAAATTGTGTTGTTTGACTTTTTTTTGTTAGTACTTATATGATCATGATGATGTTTCAGTGCCTCTAACAGCATTAATAGTAGGGCGGGACGTGGCTCTCATTGCTGCAGCCTTCTACCTTAGATACATCACACTGCCTCCTCCGGTGAGTAGTTACATCCTTATTATGTTCATGCTGGTTATAAAAGCTGATGACAATAGGGGTCAGACTGATGTTCACACTGTCATCCACTTGCTTTGACTCTGTTTGTTACATGGTAGCTTTAAGATTTCTGACCAGATGTGAGAAATCCTATCTACTTACTCTAGTTTTACCTTTCAATGATGATTTTGCAATGATTTTTCCTCTGCAGAGTTGTGCCCCTTAAACATGCCAGGATCTGCTTGTTATGGTTTCAAGTCTCAGATTCACCCTATTCTAGATCCTTCGCCTGTAAACACCAATCCAATAACTTTGTGTTTTCATCCCATAAGAAGATCTCACTCTGTGTTTTGTTTGTTTGTTGTTTAACGCCGCACTCAGCGATATTCAAACTAAATGACAGCGGGCTGTAAATAATCGAGTCTGGACCAGACAATCCAGTGATTGACATCATGAGCATCACATCACATCCATGCAATTTGAATACGATGACATGCATCAACCAAGTCAGCGAGCTTCACAACCCAATCCCATTAGTCGCCTCTTACGAAAAGCATAGACGCCTTTTACGGCAAGCATGGGTTGCTGAAGATCTGTTCTACCCCGGATCTTCATGGGTCTCTCACACTGTGATGTAACAGACATCTTTTTAAGTGGCTTTATGGTAAATTCACTCACCATACTTGCTGAATATCTTGTTAACATGAATATTACCTCAGTTGTGTAATGGATAGAGTGTCTGCTTAGAGAGTGGAAAGTTGATGGTTTGATCCCCAGTCGCGTTAAAAGTGGTACTTGTTGTTGCCCTGCCTGCTCTTGGCATTATGGGAATAAAACAACAATTGGTCAAACTGGAGTCAATATTGTGTCATGAGTGGGGTATCCTTGTTAAACTACGACATGGCATTTCAGTGGGGTAGCACTATGAAACTGGCATAAGTCCGGACTTCTTCAAACACAGGAGCACACATATGTAAACACAAATGCCCGAGAGCAGGGAAATAATGATAACATAGGGAAACTATTTAAAATTTATTAAATCAAGTTGCCTGAATATGAATTACCATGTTTCACTGTATATTATATCTACAATGGATAGAATTGTCATTAAACCGCCCGCATGTTATCAAAAATGAGCGGGCCACTTGATAATGCCCTCATATTGCTTGACGACAGGCCATTATCACGCCCGTTGTTAGGTGACGTCATAGGGTAGGGTTAGGTGACGTCATGTTCTATAGTGACGCCATCTGGTTTGTTCTATGACGTTTTTTATATTTGTAAAAGTGGGTCAGTGACATCTGTTATGTGTTGATTTCAGTAAATGTTTCAAAACCAATATTGTTGTATATTTTTATTGATAACAAATTCTATCCATTGTAGCTATAAAAATGGTAATGCTATTTTTTGGGGCATTATCATTTGCAGAAGCCCTCTGTCTTTTCAACTACCTTCCTTTGTCGGGGAGTTAATGGAAGACTTTGAGCTTCTGCAAGTGATAATGCCCTGAAAAATAGCGTTACCTTTATATTATACACGTTAAAAAACAAAATGGAGCACCATATTGTTTTTGGACAATGTTTCTTGTAAATCTGTGTCATGCATAGTCAGTTTGTCGACTGGTTCCTTTTGCTTTTACGGGATTCATATCATTTATATAGTTTCCATTTCCATGGCAACAAGTTTGACTTTGACTCTGTTCATCGTGGTGTGTTTGTCCGAACCATATCTTGAAAACTAGGCATTCTTTCATGAAACTGTGCACACACAAAGACCAGGTTGTCGACTGGTGCCTTTTGTTATTTAAGGATTTTTACAATTTGTATATTATCCATTTCCATGGCAACAAGTTTGACTTTACATAGAAATGGAAGTTTTACCTGTCATAGGAAATGCTAAGTTCCGAATCCCAATTCCATGGTATACACACAGATTAGACAGAAATCTCTCATCAAGCTGGACTTAAATAACAGTCAGATGATTTGATTTGGGCGGGGGGGATTTGTCATCTTCTGGTGATGCTTGTTCTCTGCTGCAGTTTGTTTGAATGTTTGATTTTAGATTTTTTGTTAGTGGTAGAATTCTTGATCTTTTTTGCTTTTAATTTTAGTTTTCTATCTCTTTTTTTCCAGAAAACATTATCAAGATATTTTGATGTGACACTAGTCTCAGCAAAGTTGGAACCATTTTTGATTAGCAAGGTAGGGAACTTCAGTAAACATTTTCAAACTTCTGTTGGATATTTTACAAGGATTAGGATGTGTTCATGCATGTAATGAAAGGAAGCGAGCCAGAATCTTTCACCTGAGGAAGAAAGTAGCAAGTACAAACTAGAAGGACCCATTTCTAATCCTTCATTTCTAATCCGTCTTTCTGTTTTATTTTCCAGTGGAACACAGCATTTCAGCTCTCTCTCGTGGCCTTCACCCTGGCTGCGCCTGTCTTCAACTATGTTGATCATCCCCTGCTGCAGGGACTATGGTAAGTCAAGTTGGATTTCCAGGGACAATAGTTGCTCATCCTCGATTATCCAGCATCTTCATTCTGTTATAATATATTACGATACTCTGGAACAGTTTAACGCTATCTTTGTTTCAGAAGTGACATCATTAGCCCCACTGTCTTATCACTAAGTTAGAACTCAAGATCTCTCACCCATGAACTTGAAATCAATAACCAATCACTATGCCTCATCTGATTTGTTTGTTTTATTTGTTGTTTAATGCCACACTGAGCAATATTCCAGCTGTATGATGGCGGTCTGTAAGTAATCGAGTCTGGACCAGGCAATTCAGTGATTGACGTAATGAGCATCGATCCACACAATTGGGATCGATGACATGCATCAACAAAGTCAGCAAGTCTGACCACCCAATCCTGTTAGTTGCCTCTTACGACAAGCATAGACGCCTTTTATGGAAAGCATGGGTTTCTGAAGACCTATTCTACCCTGGATCTTCACGGCTGCCTCATCTGAATGTGAACTGAGGCCGTGACTTCAAATATAGACCTATGCCAAACTCGGCTCATCCATCTGAACGTGTTGTTTGGCATAGGTCTATATTTGGTATAGGTCAACATTTAGCTGGAAAAGATGTTTTCCTAAGTACTAAGAATCGGGGAAGGAAGTCATTTTGTTACAAGACGTTATGGATATATTTTTTAGACGACACACAAAAGTCTAATCTAATACTGCTGATGTCACCTCTGGTTCAAAAGTGAAAGAATAATAATTTGATTGGACACTATTTTTGACATTGTGTCCTTCGAACTGGACTTGAAACAAAGGATGATGGCGAATGGGTCCAGGGTGTTTATTGTAATAGAATGGAGATGTAATACCCTGGACGATCGAGGATGATCCTTATTAAAGGAGCAGTGTTGGAGGGGATAGAGGTTGTGATCATGGCGGAGACTATTACTAGTCAGACAGACTACTTGAAGGATTGTACTTCTGGTTGTGTGACATGATTGAAATATTGCTGTCTGTATCATGCCCCAATTGACCCGGGGGGCACTGGTGGCCCAGTCGTCTAAGGTGCCACAATTCAGTGTGCAGAGTTGTGTCCCTTGGGCACGCCAGAAACGTATATTTGTGGGCTCGAATCCCGGTTCGCCCTGATTATGTTTCTAGGTTTGTCAGCACCATACCCTTGCTCGTGGGTTTCACTGAAGTGGTTAACGTCTGAGACCTGCATCACTTCGGGCTTTCCTCCCACATTAAGCGAACACGCCGAGATATAACTGCAATACTGTTAAAAGCAGCTTTAAACATAACAGACACAATTGACCCCTTCAACACTCACAATCTCCACTGCGACAATATATCATTTTTAAAAATAAATATTTTAATTGCTCCTGAGGTTGAAATTTTGCATTTTAATGGTGCTAAATATATTGAGTTTGTTGTTACATTTAGAATTGTATTTGGAAATATTTTCTTCAGCACAATCCTGAAACAATCCTTGCCACCCCCAAACCTAAATTTGAGGCATCATTGTGACATATCCATGAAATGAATCAAAGTTGTTTGTGTCACAGGTATCTAACGGGGTCCACAACGTTCATCTCGGGTGTGCTGTATGTGGTCTACTGGAGAGACAGTGTCAAGATACTGAATCAGGGCAAGAAGTGAGGTGCATCGTGGGTACAGTTGGTCATGTGGTATCCTGGAGAATATGGTGACGTGAACCATACCGTTGTGTGATTCTGATAGCATAGAGATGACATGGTGTCATACTCACAACCGTGAGGACATCCTGATGACATTTTAAGTCAAAGTCATTTCGCAGAAACAGTGATATAGATTTTTACTGATGACATGATTTCATACCTATGATAACCTAATTAGCACCACACAACTATTAATGCTTATAACTGCCCCCATATTCGTGACCAATTCATGTTATTCCGAGACAAGCCGAATAGCGACTCGTGGCTATTTTTGTGACTGGGTTCCATTTAAGTGCAAACGGGCATAGTGAAGAGAATTGTCAACTCAGTGCGTAATGATTCACATATATTTTCCCTTGTCATGTATATTCGAGATGCTGTTGAAGACACATCAAGAATTACGGTATTTATACAGTATGACTTAACACATTTTACTGTATCTCGGGTGCATTTTAGATGCAAGAGAGGTGTAAAATCGTAATTTATAACATTTCTAACATTCGTCGATAGGGGGGCGAGTCTTCTTGCAGGTTACGAGTAGTGACGAATCTGCCCCCGACTATTTTTAGAGTACAGCGCTATGGGAGTGCAGAATGTAAGATTGTGCGAATGGTAATGATAACACAAAATCTACATAAGTTTATCTCCAATTTAAGCAGCACAGTCCAAGAGAGGATCCAGATTATCATCCATTTAGCTTCTGATTTGGTTAAAAACTCAAGAGTGCCAATAACATTGATTTCTGAATGTGTCATTGACGTACATGGTTCTACAGTTCGTCTGATGGCATTAAGGCACCATGTGGATCGTGATGCCATGATGGCGCCATGTTCCATGGTTCTTCAGTTCGTCTGATGGCATTAAGGCACCATGTGGATCGTGATGCATGGATGGCGCCATGTTCGATGGTTCTACAGTTCGTCTGATGGCATTAAGACACCTTGTGGATCGTGATCCATGGGTGGCGCCATGTTCCATGGTTCTACAGTTCGTCTGATGGCATTAAGACACCTTGTGGATCGTGATGCATGGGTGGCGCCATGTTCCATGGTTCTACAGTTGGTCTGATGGCATTAAGGCAGCATGTGGATCTTGATGCCATGATGGCGCCATGTTCCATGGTTCTACAGTTGGTCTGATGGCATTAAGGCAGCATGTGGATCGTGATGCCATGATGGCGCCATGTTCATAACTGTATTGTTTGTGGCAGTCAGGATTGACAAGATCAGCCATATTTGTTGAGGACAATTACTCTGTTTACATGGACATGTTGACAGATTATCGAGAGGTGTGCGTGCTTGTTGATGGGAAGACTTGTATACAAAATTATAATGAATGACAGGTAGCTATTGTTTTAATGAAGCTTTCATTCTCATTGCAGGTAGGAAATAAATATTATTTATTAGAGATGTGGAATTTGACAGATGTATGTTTTTTTGATACTCCACACAAGTTGTGTTTCAACACTGAGAACTATTTTCTAAGAAGTGCTGCATTATACACTACAGCAGAAAAATGTTCTTATTGTTTTAAGACAATTATTATGTTTAGATTATTGCATTTATGGGTTCCATTTATATCCCAGCAAACCTTGTTTCTCTGTTTGGCTGCTCTTTGTGCATCTTGCATCTTGCATCTTGCATCGTGCATCTTTTCATACCAAAACTTATTTTGTTTGCTTAAAGTTTTTATGTTTCGAAAATTGTCTTGCAGTTGTTTTTGTTATGTTAGAATTTTTTAAACACGTATGTTCTTTTACCGGTGTAGCCTCAACACCGGTCTGACCTCCGTCCTGCCAACAATATTTTGGGTTTTCTGAAAAGATATTAATGGATATTTGCCTAATTTGTTTATGAGGGCATGGTGGATCTTTATTAGGTCGAGTTGTGTCCCTTACCCTCAAAGAAACCAACAGCTTGTGAGTAAATCCTAAATCAGAACCAAATCTTCCTGCTGTTCCTGCTTGTGGGTTTCGTTGTGCAGAGTTATTTCCCTTACTTGTGCCAGGATCCAAATATTGTGTTGCTAATATTCCAGATTTTACAGCACTATAAATGTCCCCTTGAGTTTTACTGAATGGTAAAAGCCTACAACCTGCATAACTTTATGCTTTACTCAACAGTCCAACTGACTCTGCTTGATGTCATATAATTGACATACTGTTCAACCAGGGGCGGTCGGGTAGCCAAGTGGTTAAAGCGTTCGCTTGTCAAACCGAAGACCCGGGTTCGATTCCCAACATGGGTACAATGTGTGAAGCCCATTTCTGGTGTCCCCCGCAGTGATATTGCTGGAATATTGCTAAAAGCAGCATAAAACCATACTGACTCACTGTTCAACCCTCTCAAACTGCTGTTAAGTAATTTAGACAATTATTGGTGGATTAACATTGGCAAAATTTAATGCTAAGACATGTCGTTACATATGCAAAGGTTACATCTGGTTTCTGGTTTCCAAATAAGAACAAATCTAGATGGTACCGTATTACCGTATTCGACGTAATAAGCGCCCTGATCTATTAAGCGCCCATGGTGATATTTGCTAACATATTGGCAAGTGAACAATCCCAATAAGCGCCCCTTTCATTTCATCAGTGTATACAAAACTTACTTATTCAAGTATAAAATGCACTCGTGAGTTCATAATGGGCAATTAAATTCTGGATAAATATACATGTATCACAGAAACATAGATATTTAAGTTAATACATGCAAGCATTATCATTTATATCTAAAGTGGTAAAAAAATTAGAGCGTTCGTTTTCTGCGTTCGCCAAACCACAAACTTAACGATCTTTCAATTCTGTTTTTTTTTGTTCACCAAAAATATATTTCAATAACCCCCCCCTTTTTCTTATTTTGAGAGTGCCCTGGGCACTTATTACGTCAAATACGGTAAGTCGATTTTTCTAGCAAGCCAAAATGTTAAGGTGAAAGGTCAAATCACAATTTCTGCATAAACTGCTTTTAGAGAGTTTAGGAATTGTCAAGCATAGTTAAATCTGTCCATTTCATGTGGGTCCGAGGAGACATGATGGCTTCCCACAAAAGGAGCACAAATCTGACATTTATATTTTGTATGTCTTTTTTTGTAAGATGAAGACTGAAGCTGTATGATGATATTAGCATCATACTGTTGTTGCAGTAGTTAATCGGAGTGGTGTGATTGCGATAGTTGCATATTATGTTATGAACATGCTTCTCAAAGCTGAGGTATTCTGTGACTATAAAATATTCTTATTCTGCAATGGTGCTTCATAATGGTGATCCTATTAAAATAACAATCAAACACAATTTTTGTTCTTCCTTTCTACAGGTCAGGTATAAATAGGATTCTTGGTTTGGTTGGTTTGTTGTTTTACGCCGCACTCAGCAATATTCCAGCTATATGACGGCGGTCTGTAAATAATCGAGTCGGGACCAGACAATCCAGTGATTCACATCATGAGCATCGATCCACGCCATTGGGATCGATGACATGCATCAACCAAGTCAGCGAGCCTGACCACCCGATCCCGTTAGTCGCCTTTTACGACAAGCAAAGTCGCCTTTTACGGCAAGCATGGGTTGCTGAAGACCTATTCTACCCCGGATCTTCACGGGTAATAAATAGGATTCAAATTCCAAGCGAGGTATTAATGTGAAACTAGGAAACAAATCGTGAACAAGGTTAAGAAACATTCAGTACAAGTGAGTGAATGTTGTTTTATGCCACAGACAGCAATTTTCTCTCTGTGTCAGTGTGTAAAGAAGGATCCCAGCCAGACAAACCAGTGGTTGACGGTATGAGCACCAAATGACATTGTCATGGTATGGTGAAACAATAGGCTGAGGTCACATGTTATAACTATCCAATCCTCAATAAGTCAGCTGTCAAGACAAACATATGGCATGTGATAACGGGGTCTGTTCTGCCCCTGAATCTTCAAGCAGCTTTCTGCATTCTGTGACTCATCTTGTTAGCACCGCCTTCATGGTTATGTGGATAAAAGTGGTTTGTTTGTTTGGTTTGTTTGTTGTTTAACGCCGCACTCAGCAATATTCCAGCTATATGACGGCGTTCTGTTAATAATCGAGTCTGGACCAGACAATCCAGTGATTGACATCATGAGCATCGATCCACGCAATTGTAAATAATCGAGTCTGGACCAGACAATCCAGTGATTGACATCACGAGCATCGATCCACGCAATTGGGATCGATGACATGCATCAACCAAGTCAGCGAGCCTGACCACCCGATCCTGTAGTCGCCTTTTACGACAAGCATAGTCGCCTTTTACGGCAAGCATGGGTTGCTGAAGACCTATTCTACCCCGGAATCTTCACGGGACCTAAAAGTGGACAGAAGTATGGGCGGCCATTCGGTATAAAAATACAAAGTTTAAATAAAGGACAAAAGTACAAAATAATAGTGAAATGTTACGAATAAAGAATAAATGTTACAAATAAAGCTCATTGTTTACATAAAAATAATGCATTCAACATACAAAACTATGCCAATGAACAACTCGCAAACAAAAGATATCGTATGTAAAGAAAGAACAAAGTGTGCTAAAGAACGTCAGTGCACAAAAAAGGACAATAAACTGCTAAAGGACAACTTTGACAATAAAGAAGGTCAGGTGGCGCTGCAATTTGTAATACATTCTGAGTTTAATCAGCTTGTTCCGCCGTGTATATGATAACTGCATGTCGAAGTGCTCAGTGTATTTCGTCGTTCCTCGTGCATTCAAAAGTGTTATATGATGCCAGGTTATATTTCTGACGCACATTTTCATATGATCGGATAAGTGAACATTGTGCAAAAATATTGCGGCCCTTGGTTGACCTCAGACTATCATGACTATAATATTACTGAGAGATGTATTTAGTCAAGTTAATTCTCATTTAGTATTGCACTTTTTAAAGGAAATTGATTTAATACATAAATTTTGATGTACATAATATGTTTTTATATATTGGTAGTGCTAATATATAACTTAGATTGTTAGTGGCTGTACCCTCGAGGGGGGTTGAAGTAGCGTAAAATTATTGTCCCCCTAAGAGGGTATGTAAGTCCCACATCATTCAATGTATTGTTATGCATACCAGAATTTTAAAACGTAGTATTTTTGTCATTTTAATCTAAGGCTTAACTGGTCAACTATCGCCAGTGACTGAAGGACTGATATCAATCCAGCCAGGGTCCATGCAGGAAGCAAAGGCACTGTAAGTCCCCATAGTCCCTGGTATGGTGTTCTCCCTTTAGTTACTGACGATCTCTAGCCCATTTTTATATTGTGTTGTTAATTCTTTCTGCTTTTATATGTTCCTCAACTAGTTTTAATACACTCTGTGATATTCTAGTTATTGTACTGTCCTTTGCTGACAGGTTTTTTATAAATTATATATACTTATTTGTTATTAATGTATTAATTCTCGTCACGATATGGCTGAAATATTGCCGATGTGATGTTAAATATTAACTCACTCACTCACTCACTGAGAGATGTAAAACGTTAAATTTCCTGTCTGAAATATGGCTGCAAATATTAACCCATATTGTCCGAGATTTTGGTATGCAAAATTTCAACACACCGACAAAAGTAGTCGTTTCAAATATCTGAACGACGTAAATATAAGTTAAGCGTTCTATAAGGAGATAAATGTAATGTGTTTTCACTGGAGAGGTGGTTACCTGTAGATTTAACCCCACTAAATTGAAGTTGGAACCGAACACGCAGCGTGAGGTTTCAAACGTTAAATTTAGCGCGAAGACCTGGGTTCGATGCCTGAAGGGTACAATGTGTGAAGCCCATTTCTGGTGTCTCCCGCTATGATATTGCTGGAATATTGCTAAAAGCGGCGTAAAACCATACTCAATCACTCACTCCTTGTGTGAAGTCCATGATTCATTTCTCCAGCTGAAATTGCTTAAACAGGCGTAAGACCTGCAAAACCTCAACTGAAAGCAATGCTGCAATACTGCTGAATACCTCAACCACTCTAGCGTAGATTTATAAGTGTTTGTTCATCACACCGAAGACCTGGCTTAATTCCCCTCATGGGCGTGGTGTCCCTCACCTAGGGCTAAATGTGTCCCTGATTCCCAAGTCTGCCATGCTTGTTGGACAAACGCCTTCTGGACAAGGATGGTGCTTGGACCTGGATCCTGGCTTGCATTGTTATCACTTCATATAAATAAACAAGACAGTTTTACATAATAAAGTTTATTTGATCATTAAACCCACAAAATATATTTATTGTGAAACAAGCAGACAGACAACACAATATCCAAAATGGCAGACAGGGAGAGACAGCAGACGTAAACACAAACAAAAAATGAGCAAAACTTTATATTTCATCTTTCATACCGAAGTATTACAAGCACTTGCAGGTGTAGAATTCAACTTTTTAAAACCACCAAACCTGATCACAAAAAGAAAATACAATTCCAAACTAGCGCCATGATGCTCTGACAAATGATGTTTTATAGTGACGTTAATTTCCTTGGAAGGGTTTGACATAGAACCAAATCTCCTCTTCAATCTGAGAACTTTCCTTCAATTTGCTTGTGGATTGATCATAATTTATCATAAATACAATGGCATCACTTGACATGTTAAGACTTGACTCATGGTATACATCCAGGGAGAACATGGAGTCGGACACTAGGGCTGGGACGAGTCCAAATTTACTACCCGTACAAAATGTCCAATTGGAAATAGTCTGACTATGGCCCTAGACAAAATGTATTTGGATACACTTATAAATCGATCTGCTCATGCATACACTGACGTTGACTGAAGTTTTATCTTATTAAATTGAAACATATAAAAGTCTGGGTGCATAGTCAGAAAAAAAAAAATGCGAACATTAGTGACTTGTAGTGTAACCATGTAGTTCAAGATCATTTTTGTCATTGAACAATATATCACATGACCTACCACGGGTCTGGTTAGTTCTGTGGGTACCCGGGTCCTTCTCAGTACCCACCCGACCCGAGTACCCGAGTTACCCGTCCCAGCTCTATCGGACACAGCAGAAAATGGAAGTACAGAACAAGATGTACGTGGCTTAAATATAATCAGAGTTGGGCCGAAAAAGCCAGATGATATGGTTCCCACCAACCCTTATTTATGATGCAAACATATTTCATTTGTGATACTCAGCGTTCATGACAAAACAAAGAGCACACAAGACAAGAAATGAATACAAATACATGCTCCATCGATATTAAATCAACTAATTGGAACCACCACATTTGTCTGCTGAAAAAAGACCTCAATAAAAAAGCAGAAGCTGAGAAATACACAAATATAGGGGTGCATTTTTACTCTGCACACATCTCCATGCATATTGTGGGGCTCCATATTCGTTCTACACTCAAATGAACAAACACTTCAGCGCCACGGCGTTGCACCATGGACCACGACTATGACAGCATGCACTGCACGTTTCACGGAGTACTTCCATCGTCAGTTATTGTGAGGACATATATACTTCATCATAAATAAATATATACCCAAAAAAATGTAATAAATGTTTTGATGGAGTAAATGGAATACAAGGCAGGAGCAATTAACATTTCAATAGGGCTGAATGGTGAGCTATGATGGCAAAACATGCATTTCATGCACTAACTTTGTTACAACTGTTCCTAGGTTTTAAGTAAAGACTGAATATTTTGGGTAGCAAAAGTTTGAAACTTGAGACATTTGTAACATTCAAGACATTGTTTATTTAATTTGTTTTTTTCTTGCCTTTTTGTGTGATGAAAGGCATTAATTAAAAGGATTAAGCTTTACTGTGAGAATCCTCTCAAAAACTCTTGGACCCATTTCCTCCCAAAATACATTGGGCCTCTCTGAGGACATATTTACTGTTAAAATCTATAAATTGTGAAGTAAATATTTTCCATTCATAATAGTTGCCATGGTTACAATGTGGAAGAAATCAAACTTTCCATGTATACCTTTCAGGAAGATGTATTCTTCTACTCACTATGTTCACAGGTGAATTCTATTTGTTAAATCTCCCACTTTAATGTATTGGGCACTAAAACATTGATTAAGTTTTCTTGTCAGTAGTGCATCAGATCAACATCTGCCATTTACACTGAAAAACATTCAACAGGAGGGGCCTTGACATTCAACAAGAGGAACCTTGACATTCAACAAATAACCAGCCTTTTAAACTCTTTTGAAGAAAATTAATGGTATCACAGACGTCTAGGAAATGTGTCTCCCATCTTGGTGTTTTATAACAAACACATCATAACAACATAATAAACAGAATATATACTATGTGTTGTAGTTAACATAACAATCATTGTACTGATCATAATACAAACACTGTACTGATCATAATACAAACACTGTACTGATCATAATACAATCATTGTACTGATCATAATACAATCATTGTACTGATCATAATACAAACACTGTACTGATCATAATACAAACACTGTACTGATCATAATACAAACACTGTACTGATCATAATACAATCATTGTACTGATCATAATACAAACACTGTACTGATCATAATACAAACACTGTACTGATCATAATACAAACACTGTACTGATCATAATACAAACACTGTACTGATCATAATACAATCATTGTACTGATCATAATACAATCATTGTACTGATCATAATACAAACACTGTACTGATCATAATACAATCATTGTACTGATCATAATACAATCATTGTACTGATCATAATACAAACACTGTACTGATCATAATACAAACACTGTACTGATCATAATACAATCATTGTACTGATCATAATACAAACACTGTACTGATCATAATACAAACACTGTACTGATCATAATACAAACACTGTACTGATCATAATACAATCATTGTACTGATCATAATACAAACACTGTACTGATCATAATACAAACACTGTACTGATCATAATACAAACACTGTACTGATCATAATACAAACACTGTACTGATCATAATACAATCATTGTACTGATCATAATACAAACACTGTACTGATCATAATACAAACACTGTACTGATCATAATACAAACACTGTACTGATCATAATACAAACACTGTACTGATCATAATACAATCATTGTACTGATCATAATACAAACACTGTACTGATCATAATACAATCATTGTACTGATCATAATACAAACACTGTACTGATCATAATACAAACACTGTACTGATCATAATACAAACACTGTACTGATCATAATACAAACACTGTACTGATCATAATACAATCATTGTACTGATCATAATACAAACACTGTACTGATCATAATACAATCATTGTACTGATCATAATACAAACACTGTACTGATCATAATACAAACACTGTACTGATCATAATACAAACACTGTACTGATCATAATACAAACACTGTACTGATCATAATACAATCATTGTACTGATCATAATACAATCATTGTACTGATCATAACACAAACACTGTACTGATCATAATACAAACACTGTACTGATCATAATACAATCATTGTACTGATCATAATACAAACACTGTACTGATCATAATACAATCATTGTACTGATCATAATACAAACACTGTACTGATCATAATACAACAATTGTACTAATAATAACACTACCATTGTACTGATCACACTGTTACCATTGTACTGATCATAACACTTCCATTGTACTGATCATAATATTACCATTGTATCGAAAATACAACCATTGTATTGATCATAACACTACCATTGTATTGATCATAATACAGCCATTGTCCTGATCATAACACTACCAATGTACTGATCTTGATATTACCATTGTACTGATCATAACACTACCGTTGTACTGATCATAATAAAAACATTGTACTGATCATAATACAGCCATTTTACTGATCATAATACAAACATTGTACTGATCATAATACAATTATTGTACTGACCATAATACAGCCATTCTAATACAGCCATTGTACTGATCATAATACAAACATTGTACTGATCATAATACAAATATTGTACAGATCTTAATACGTTGTACAGATCATAATACAAATATTTACTAATTATGAAACAACCGTCATGCTCAACATGATAATCCAACTGAAACTTAACTTGTGGGTTCACTGAATCGAAGGCATTGGGGTATGAGGACACTAGGGCTGGGACGAGTCCAAATATACTACCCGCCCCCATATAACCCGACCCTACCCGGGTACCCGCCATGAGTCTCAAACTGTCCAATTGGGAATAGTTTGACCGTAGCCCTGGACAAAATGTATTTAGATACACATTTAAAACGATCTGCTCATGCATACACTGAAGTTGACTGAAGTTGTCTCTTTATTCAAACATATAAAAGTCAGAAGGAATGGGTGCATAGTCCGAAATAAATGCGAACATGTGACTAGTGACCTGCAGTGTAACCATAGAGTTCTAGATCATTTTTGTCATAAAACAATATATCACATGACGCACCACGGGTCCGGGTAGTTCTGTGGGTACCCGGGTCCTTCTCAGTACCCACCTGACTCGAGTACCCGAGTTACCCTTCTCAGCCCTAGGGGACACCCAATCTACCTTGTCACCAAGCCTGACGAGCTGATCCATTTGGTTGCCTCTTACGACTAGCATATAAGCATCTTCCCGAGGCAAGAGAGTTAACTGACTTTAAAAGTCCAGTTTCCACCCTTGTCGAACTAGGCAATCGACCGAACTCTGCATGACAGTTTACCAACCGGATTTCGATTTCGGTGCACGATTTTGATTGGACTTTGCATAGACTCGTTAGTCCAGCCAAATTCTAACTCCACAATACCAGCCTAGTTCGGCAAGGGTGGAAACTGGACTTTTATAGTCAGTTAACTCTCTTGCCTTGGGAAGATGGCATATAAGTTGCTTGGGAGCAATTCAAATCTGGAATGCCCATGGGGCCATAACCCTTGACAGCAGCATGATCAACTATACTGACCGCATAAACAGGACTGTTCCTGACTGGCTCAACATCCCATAATAGTCATCACAGAATAGAACTATACACCACCTGTCTGCCTAAACTGCATGTGATCTGCTCGAGACTTCACATCAACACAGTAACGTGCTCCCCCCTGCTGGCAGTACAGTATGTAGAACATCTGTGATGAAGTTTACAAAGTATGTATCATGTCCTGATCAGGAACAGGGAGCTGCTTTAAACTAATGGTGAAAAGAAGAAATATTTTTGCATTTTATCATACTCTTCCAGAAACTGATAGTACTTTCTGAAACTGAGTGAGTGCGTTGGGCTTAACGCCGCTTTTAACAGTATTCCAGTCATATCACGGCGTGTCAGCTTAATGTGGGAGGAAAGCCCGAAGTGATCCAGGTCTCAGACGTTTACCACTTCGGTGAAACCCACGAGCACGGGTATGGTGCTGACAAACCTAGAAACATAATCGGGTCGAACAGGGATTCGAACCCACAATCATAGGTTTCTGGCGTCCCTAAGGGACGCAACTCTGCACAGCGAATCGCGGCGCCTTAGACGACTGGGCCACCCGTGCTACCCTTCTGAAACTGAAAACCACTTAAGTTACTTTTAAGAAGTAGGTGGATTATTACTCTAGTCAGCTTCCATAACGTGGCAAATAATTCCCGGAAAGTGTGACATTTATAATACACCTTTATAGAAAGACATCATCCAGCTACCAAACAAAATATCAATATTCTGTTATTATACAAATATTACCGTAAGATTCTGTAATTAAGCTATTTATAATGTTATTCATAAGCACCAAGAGACATTTTGTTCCAGATATGCCATCTTGTGAACATGATAAACAAGACTTTGAAAGGGATTTAGAAGTGATACACATAAGAGAAGAGAATTTATGGATGTCAACTTCTTTGCTATGAATAACACGACATTTTGAAGTACATATACTTGCTCCTTGATCATACACCTGATGAAAAGGTAAGTTTATACTCTGAAACATTGTGTTCCTCATAATAAAAAAGCCGACATCCTTAAATTTTCTTCCTTATGATAAACAAGCTTCCAAATCAGCACTTTTCAGTTTGAAAATAATAATCCCAAGGAAATATTATCCGTTAGGAATCCTCACATTTGTTTAGGAGTCAGTTGGATTTTATGATGCTTTGAACAATATTTCATTGATAGTGATGCACGAACACACAGCAAATTGAGACTCTGAGACGTCCCCGACATCTGTTTCAGATCAGTAGAAATGTCAAGAATGTTAAACGCCAGATTATCCAGTATCAACAAACCAGGTTTTCATGTCAATATTTACCAGTTCATCTCTGCAATCAACAGTTCTTGCAGACAAACCTGAGAGAAAGCATCGACCGGCCACAAATGACTGATAAATTATGCATTAAAAGATGCCACATAATATACATAATACTTAATGTATTTTCAAAAACAAGTCCTCACAATTGGTAGCTTAACACAAAGAGCCTTTTGTCTCACAAAGAAAATCTCCTTGGTTATGATAATTGAGCTATAATTTGTGGTAGGCAAACTTCAAAAAAACATTATTTGATAAAAAGCTGAAAAATACAGCATAAACTGTATTTACTATGAATTAGATGTCATTAAGAAAATGAACTGAACAGAGCCTAATATAAGCCCACCAAATATTCTCACAAGTGTGCTACCATTCATTTTCCGATCACACTCTTTCAGTCGTATGGCCAATTTGCATTAAGTTGGCAGGTGTAAGACCCTGCAACACCTATCTCCCTAATGTCCTACAAACAAGCTGACTACTGAGCAAGGTCGGAATGAAACAATCACAATGTAACAAACCACAATCACAAATGGAAACTGATACACATTCAACATCACTAGAGCATGGCTTCATTCAGAATTTCTTCAAAATTGCACTACTAGTTTGTTTTATCACAGCAAAGTCTATCTGGTTTTGAACACAACTCACATGGCCAGTTTCATATCAATTGTCAGCTGTAAGATCTTTCAGTTGAAGATAGTTCTTCAAAACTACAGGAATTTCCAACTGATTTGAACAGGTGTCGACATTGTTGCCAAAATATTGACGCAAAAATCGCCTGCATATTTTGACGAGTCTTGAGGGCGTGGTTTTATGGTAGTGAAGAAGGCTTCGGAATGCTTCCTCCTTGACCTCTTGCAGTGCGTCTGAGAGGATCCAGTTTTCAGCGGACATGTCATATCCTGCCGCAATCAACAACATGCCGACCTCCGGGTAATTACGATCAGCGGCCACCCAGAGAGGCGTCTTAACCTCCTTGTAGATGTAGAGAACATCGTCTGACTGATGGTGCTGGTTAATGCCTACACTTTTGACTTCCATGTCTACATTTTTGCTCAGCAAAATCTTAATAATGTCCTTATTCCCACAGTAAGTAGCATTCCACAATGGAGTCACGTTGACCCGGTTCCTTACATTGGGATCGGCACCATTTTGGACGAGAATTCTCACGGCATTGACATCCGAGTTGTAGGATGCATAGTGTAGAGGAGTGTCTTGATCTTTGTCGGAATTGTTGACATCACAACCGTAGGGTATCAATATGTCGATAATATCCGAATGACGGCCGTGAGCAGCGAGGGAGAGGGGTGTGTTAAGATCAGCCGTCTTGGTATCACATGGAGCTCTATGTTTCAACAGCAGGTTGACAGAGTTGACATGACCGTTCCAGGCCGCGATGTGGAGTGCGGTGTAGCCGTGTCTGTTGGTGGCGGCGATGTCTGCGCGATGTTTCAGCAGCAGTTCCAAGATCTCCCAGGAATCACTGTAAGCTGCAACCACCAGTGCCGGGAAACCGTCTTCAGGAATGTGGTTTGGATCGGCACCTCCCGTAAGTAGAAGATCAACTAACTCAGCCTCCTCTGGAGATAAAACAGTACATATATAGTTGAAAGTCATGCCCACAATTCATGAGTTTTATGTTTAGTCTTAGATACTGATTACCAAAAAAAACACGAACACTCTGTTAATTAAAACAGTCATACTGAAAAACAAACAACCATTCCAGTTCCACGCCCTTAGATATCTTGGTTTGTTTGTTTTTATGTTTGACGTCGCACTCAGCAATATTCCAGCTATATGACAGCAGTCTGTAAATAATCAAGTCTGGACTAGACAATCCTGTGATTGACATCATGAGCATTGATCCTTGCAATTGTGATACGATGACAAGTCAGAGAGCCTGACCACCCGATCCCGTTAGTCGCCTCTTATGACAAGCATAGTTGCCTTTTACAGCAAGCATGGGTTGCTGAAGACCTATTCCACCCAGGATTTCAAGGGCCAGATATCTTGGTAGGTATTAGTACAGAAGTTTAACACTGCACTCAGTTATTTTCTAGCTATATCAAGGCAGCCTGAACTAACTAAATCAGAACCAGATGATCCAGTGATTGACATTATGACAACGATCCACATCAAGCAAGTCACTGAGCCTGACCATCTGATCAGGACCCCTGTGACCGGAGTACCCACAGGGGTACAGATTTATGAGAGAGTGAATTGGGTTAAACGCTGCTTTTACATTATTCCAGTTATATCAAGGCGTGTCAGCTTAATTTGGGAGGAAAGCCCGATGTGATGCAGGTCTCAGACGTTTACCACTTCGGTGAAACCCACGAGCACAGGTATGGTGCTGACAAACCTAGAAACATAATCGGGGCGAACCAAGATTCGAACCCACAATCATAGGTTTCTGGCGTGTCCAAGGGATGCAACCCTGCACAGCGAATCGCAGCGCTTTAGACGACTGGGCCACCCAGATTTATGAACATATGTTGCATCAAATATTACTCAAAAATAAGATCAGAACCCACTTGCACAAAGCAATCTTAGCGCTAAGACTATCTTAAGCCTATGTTAAAGAATGGGAGTTACGATCATCTTAGCGCTAAGATCGCTTTGTGCAAGTGGGCCCTGGAGCATTTTATGAAAATAAAATCAGGATTCTTTGGTCATTTGAAACCACGAAACCAATAACTAGTTTTAATGCGACCAACCTCTATACACAGCAAACTGCAAGGCCGTGTCCCCACGAGCATCCTTCACGTCCACACTGGCCTTCAGCTGTAGCAGAAGCTTGGCAATGTCCACAAACCCCAGTCGACAGGCATGCATGAGGGCTGTAGTCCCTCGGACATCCATAGCATCCGGACTCGCCCCTGCATTCATCAGCGCCTCAACGTATTCAACATTCTCCATCCTTGTAGCGACGATGAGTGCGCTCTCGCCTCGGAAGTTGGTGGTGTTGACATCAATGGCATCAGACTGCACCAGCATGTCAAAGATCTCCTTCTTCTTGTCGAGCATGGCTTCTATGAGAGGGGAGTGCTGCTCCATCTTGGACCGGATGTTGATGTTGACACCCTGGGCCAGCAGGTACTGAGCGATGTGGATGTGGTTTTTCATGACGGCCAGGAAGAGGGGAGTGTAGTGGAGCACTGGGGTCACGTAGTTGAAGGTGCAGTTCTGTTCCTGGAGGAACATCAGCATCTTCAGGTTGCCCATCACGCTGGCCACGTGGGCGAGTGTCTTGCCGCACCTCCTTGGCATGGGGTGTTCGCTGCTCTGCAGACAGGAACATTTCCCTGTCTTGATCCACTCCAGTGGACGGGATAGACGGTCCGGGGCTGTGTCCTCGGCCCGGAGCGGGTGGCTCTCGAATGTCCGCACACAGTTACATCCAGGTCGGCAATCTGATTACAGATACAATAGAGTCAATTCATAACAGACACACATTCATAACAGACACACTAGAGTCAATTCATAACAGACACACTACAGCCAATTCATAACAGACACACTACAGCCAATTCATAACACACACAACAGAGCCAATTCATAACAGACACACTAGAGTCAATTCATAACAGAAACACTACAGCCAATTCATAACAGACACACTACAGCCAATTCATAACAGATACAATAGAGTCAATTCATAACAGACACACTACAGCCAATTCATAACAGACACAACAGAGCCAATACATAACAGACACAATAGAGCCAATTCATAACAGACATAATAGAACCAATTCATAACAGACACAACAGAGCCAATTCATAACAAACACAATAGAGCCAATTCATAACAGACACATTAGAGCCAATTTGTATAAGACACAACAGAGCCAATTCATAACGGACATAGCAGAGCAATTTGTAACAGATACAATAGAGCCAATTCATAACAGACACACTAGAGCCAATTCATAACAAACAATAGAGCCAATTCATAACAGACATAATAGAACCAATTCATAACAGTCACACTAGAACCAATTCATAACGGACACAACAGAGCTAATTCATAACAGACACAATAGAGCTAATTCATAACAGATATAATAGAGTCAATTCATAACAAGCACAATAGAGCAATTCATAACAGATACAACAGAGCCAATTTGTAACAGATACAATAGAGTTAATTTATAACAGACACACTACAGCCAATTCATAATAGACACAACAGAGCCAATTCATAACAGACACAACAGAGCCAATTCATAACAGACATAATAGAACCAATTCATAACAGACACAATAGAACCAACTCATAACAGACACACTACAGCCAATTCATAACAGACACAATAGTCAATTCATAACAGACACAACAGAGCCAATTCATAACAGACACAACAGAGCCAATTCATAACAGACACACTACAGCCAATTCATAACAGACACAATAGAGTCAATTTATAACAGACACACAAGAGCCAATTCATAACAAACACAATAGAGCCAATTTATAACAGACACACTAAAGCCAATTCATAACAGACACAATAGAGCCAATTTGTAACAGACACACTAGAGCCAATTCATAACAGACACACTAGAGCCAATTTGTAACAGACACAATAGAGCCAATGCATAACAGACACACCAGAGCCAATTCATAACAGGCACAACAGAGCCAATTCATAACAGACACACTTGAGCCAATTCATAACAGACACAATAGAGTCAATTCATTACAGGCACAATAGAGCAATTCATAACAGATACAACAGAGCCAATTTGTAACAGAAACAATAAAGCCAATTCATAACGGACACAATAGAGACAATTCATAAAAGACACAATAGAATCAATTCAATATTAACCACTGACTCTTCATTCCTAACTTTCTCTATCAAGAACTCACTGAGGATCATTCAATCCAGAAAGAGGGCTTCTTGCATTCACTAACTTGAGATGTCTTTGACACATGTTTTTTTATTGGGACACAACTTCACAATGTATTGAAATGCACAGATACCCATGTGAAGTGCTACCTAGCTAGAAGTGATCACCTGATTGCAGGTGTTGGAGCATGCAGGATCTACCTGGCTGTAGTTGTAACACTGTACCCCAACCGCAGGATTGAATACTCAAGCTACTAACTAGGGCTGGGACGAGTAACTCAGGTACTCGGGTCGGTCCTGAGTAGGACCCGGGTACCCACAGGAGTACCCGGACCCGTGGTTAGTCACGTGATGTATTGTTTAATGACAAAAACTCACTATAGCTCAGTGGTTACACTACAAGTCGCTAATGTTCGCATTTCTTTCTGATGATGCACACATTCCTTTTGACTCATATATGCTTGAGAAAAGATAAAGCTTCAGTCAACTTCAGTGAACGCATGATCTGATTGTTTGATACATGTGTATCTAAATAGTTTTAGCCAGGGCTGTGGTAAAACAATTACCAATCAGACATTTTGTTCCCAACTCTTGAGACTTGAAGTGGGTACCCGGGTAGGGTCGGGAACCCGGGTAGTAAATTTGGACTCGTCCCAACCCTACTACTAACCATTCATGATCGGTTCGTTGACTCCAGAATAAGTCTAAATAATCAGTAAACTATAATCATGTCACTACATCTATCTGTTCCAGCATCAAACCTCCACTCACTCATGATAAAACACTAGAACAATGTCTCTTCACGGTATGTGAGTTTATTGTCTTACACCGCACATATGATAGTGGTCTGTAAATAATCAAGTCTGGACCAGACAATCCAGAGATTGATGTTGCAAGCAATGATCCACACCATCGGGGTACGATGACACGTCATCAACCAAGTCACTGAGACTGAGTGAGTGAGTGAGTATGGTTTTACGCCGCTTTTAGCAATATTCCAGCAATATCACGGTGGGGGAACAACAGAAATGGGCTTCACACATTGTACCCATGTCGGGAATCAAACCCAGGTCTTCGGCATGACGAGCGAACGCTTTAACCACCAGGCTACCTGACCGCCCCTCACTGAGACTGACTACCATCCGTTACGTCCCCACTTACGACTAGCAGAGGCTGCTGGAGACCAATGGTTACCCGGAATCCCTACAGGGAATGTCTACCCAGCACTCAGAAAAACTTACCTATGAAAATAACCTGATCCAAGATGCACTTGTTTTCTGCCAGAAACGTGTAGTCCTCGGGACCGCCTCGCACGACACTCTCGTAGATGTCTGCTTGCAGTCTGCGAGTCTCTGCAACAACAACAACAACATCCACTACTGTAGATCCTGACGACTGGAGACGAACACTCTCATACAACCACTTCAAACCACTTTTCTCTTTCTCTTAGAAATTGTTTTCACATATCAGGAGAGAATAATTAATTTCCAAATATTTTATTCCAAACAGTTTGTAAAATTAATTTTTGAAATATGCTTGTACATATTTTAATGAATATCATTTATTAATTTCGCAGATGCACATCTTTCCATCAGACGTTGATGATTGCTACTATTAAGAATAAATAGAAATAAAACCTGCAATTAACATGGTTAATGGTCAATCGGTTATATATACAAAAGAAGAAGAATTCATTTAACATAAGAAGCCTTGGAAATTGCTTTCCAGCAGATGTATGAAGTCCCTTGATACACACTCACTTAAAATAACTAGCACCTGTTGAATCGTTGGTACAGACGAGGTTTGGACATTCTGTTGAGAAAATAGCACGGTAAGAAACAGGGGGGAAGACTGTCTGGGGTCTGTTCCACAAACCGATCTTAGCGAAGACGATCATAAGTCCAATACATTACCATAGACTTAGGACAATCATGGCGCCAAAATGGCTTTGTGGAAAGGGTCCCAGATCCATAAGGCTACAAAAATAATAGTCTTGGTTCTCAGGCACTGCCCGCATCATTATAAAATCTGCCGCACGTTTCTTTTTTATTTCCCTTGTCAAATAAAAAGATCCTTAAATATACCTAACACAACCCAGCAGTGAAATGCTACAATACTTTAAAAAAACGTGATTCAAAACAGCGATGCAGTTACTTCCCTTTACACGCGCACTGCTTTACTGCGCATCTCGTGATATGGTCATGGCATCAATAGGAGTTTGTGTGAATGGTTTACCGTTTGCAAATTTGGTCAATGAAAACATGAAATTTATGATAAAACATCACCAGACATAACATTTACAAATTGAGTGTTATTTGTGTACTGTATGCCGGACAATGTTTCATACGCAGAGATAAAGATTACATGTGTATTTGTTTCATAGGTGAGGTGAAATGGGGTTTAACGTCGCGTCCAAGATTTATTTGTCTCATAAAATAAGCCGGAAATAGCAACCAGCTGTTACACACCTTCTTTCCTATCTATGGGTGATTTAGTTTAAAACATACAGTGTTCTCTCGCTATTTCGCCCTCCAATATAACGCAAACTCGATTAAAGTGCATAGTAATGCATGGCTCCTACAAATTTACGTACAATTTTAATAAACTCAAGTTCTACATGGTACTTAATGTCATGGCCAATAACATAACTGAAAAGAAATTTCAATAGCGTGATAGGAAAACTGAAGACATTGTATCTCTAACGACTAATGTTTGTTTCAAGGCGAGTTCTTGTGATTTGCCGATCAATTCACAAATCGTACAAGATTTCGCGGAAATTAATGTAAACAAAATTGAATGAAATCTTGGATAAAAGTAATATAATGGATGACAAACATAAGTCCAGATACACAATGAACACTTTTATAGCCAGATAGTGTAATAACAGGACTAACATGCATACTTCAGTATGGATTTGTTGACATGCTTCTTCCGGTGTTGTGTGCTTGTGATAAAATCTCCGTGTTGTAAAATAAAATCATTATATGCGTGTATTATCCATGCACTAGTAGTCAAATGGTAGTCAAATACTGTATTCTAGTATTCCCTTATGTAGGGAGGCCCCTTCCCAGGTTGATTGAACTGTTTATTTGGTTACGTACCAGTTTCAACAACAACAAAAAGACACAGCCCGCTGGCACTATTTTTTCAAAAGCCATTGCCTGAGAACCAATTCTTTTATTTTATAAAACCTAACATTCAGGAATCCATTTTTACTAAGTCCCACAGAAAACCTGAAGCATTATGTCGTAACTGAGTCCTTATTTTAGCATTCAAAACTGTTGATATGAATTATAGGCAATTAAGGTGTAACTATTATCATCTGTGATGTGGATGTCTTGAGGTTAACATTTTTGCTTTCATTCTACCAATCGAACTCTATTTGACAGCAGCAAAAGCTAAAATATTTATGAGAAAACAATTTCTCAATTTTGTTCCATAGACAGTTCCAAATCATGCTATCATCAAATGTAGGTAATATAATATACTGTATTCGATGTAATAAGCGCCCCGCTCTAATAAGTGATATTTGTTAATATATTGGCTAGTGAACAATCCCAATTAGCACCCCTTTGATTGATCAATGTACACAAGACTTATCTATTCATGTATAATACGCACTCGTGTGTTATATGCACCCTTTATTATGGGCAATTAAATTCTGGAAAAATATATCCGTCGTGTATAATCATGTAATACGCACAGACTTTTCTTTTGTATCATTTCAGGTTGTCAGCATAAACCACGAAATATTCAGTTTTTCAACTGTTTTTTTCTCACTAAAATTATATTCTAATAAGAGCCCCCTATTTCTAATTTTGAGAGCGCCTTGGGCGCTTATTATGTCGAATACGGTAGATGTTACAAACTTCAGAGAAATGAGAGCTTGAAATTTGTCACAAAATCTCAAAGAGATATTAAGGCCTAAAGCTTGATGAACATGATATTTGAGTATACTTATATGCAGCACTATAAATCTTTTCTGGTTATTATTGGTGAAATAACTGAAAAAATAACTGGCCAAACTTCTCAAAACATTAAACTCAAGCATGTCAATATGTGAAGTCATGACACTGCGCATTTAACATTGAGGCTGTTTCTTAACAGTAGAGCTAAGTTACCAGTACTTCAAGTAGATTTGAGGGCACTGAATTAACACTTCCAAATTCAAATACCAAATTCTATATATTACCAAGAAATCCACAGTTCACTTAATTCTAAATTAAACAGATGTTTATCTCCTAATTAATGTATTCCGATAAAAAAAATAAATTAACTGTTGCCATGGTTACAGGTCTATCATAACATGTCAATATGCTTCACGTAAGTTTCACACCACTTACCAACACTTGTGATTTATATTTTGAACGATGAAGCTACAATTTCCTCTAATCAAATGCTAATTACACTTAAAATTATGCTTAAAAATTAAAATGCTAATCAGACATGATGGAACTGTGATAGATTCAGTTCACGTCACTGACACGATATCCCGCAATACACAGTGGGTTCTCTCAACATCCTAATATTGTCCTACAACTAATCACAAAAAGAAAACAAGATATGAACAGAAAATAAATTGATTTACCTTCCGATACAACCAATGTATCTATTTTTCGGTCATCTTCCACAACGTTCTGAAAGGAATAACAGTAAACATAATGTTAAATGGTCTAAAACATTACAAGTACATGTGCACCAAAGGAATTCTAGCAAACAATTTTGAGAGAATTCTGGTCTAAAACATTACAAGTACATGTACACCAAAGGAATTCTAGCAAACAACTTTGAGAGAATTCTGGTATCGCTTGTCACATCGACCTCTTAATAGTCTTAGGAGCAACACGTGAGTACACGGGAGCAAAATCAGTTTCATCGTCATGACCCGCACATGCACAATCTGCGTCCATCCTCTCTACATGTAACCCACCAAATATGTTTGCCCAATTTCTGCGCACCACCTACTTGTCTCAAAAGTGTTTTGTGAGTTGGTTCAAGTTACCCCGGATTACCGGTTGTCAATTTCTTTCAGAGTGTAAACAATAAGTAACATGTGAAGACATGATCGAAAAACACCTCAATACAGATAAGATATATGCAACATTCCCTCACTCACACAAAAGCTAATGACCCCTAACATGAGTGAGTGAGTGAGTATGGTTTTACGCTGCTTTCAGCAATATTCCAGCAATATCAGGGCAAGGGACACCAGAAATGGGTTCCCCTAACGACCCCTAACACGAAGAAACTAAGAACATATAATCTTAACATATTCATGTAATATTTGCAACTTCTAACTTCTGAGTGAATGTTGTTTTACACCCCATTTTTCAATATACCAGCTATACCACAACAGTCTGTAAAAATGTGACCCTGGGCTAGGCAAGTGGTCGATACCATGAGCAACAATTTAATTCCTTGAGATAAGAAGACATCCATGAGCCAGACCACATTTGTGACCACCTAATCCTCAGTTTAGCTGGCTTGGAAATTCTAAAGTAACACATCCTATCTTGGAACTATGGTAACCAGAAGCTGATTTACCTCAAGCCTCGACTGTAGGTATCTGGCAGACATTCCAAACCGTTGCAGCATAACTGCCAAACCCGCGTCGTCATCCGAATCCGAGTCAAGGAAGTCAGGATCCATGCTGTTAGGACTGCATTGGAAGAGGTTGTGATGTACTTGATTGATCACCTGAACAAAACAAGCAACAATCAAAACATTTCGTCAGTTTGTTGGGTTCATTTAAAACATTTTCATCTTTACATAACATAACAAGCATGAAATACTCATATCCCTCGCCTATATGATATGTACGGTTGTGTGCAAGGCAAGGAACATTGTACATTTTTTTTAAATCTGCTGCTACCGCCATTTTCAGTCTAAGTCAAAGTCGTTGCAAAGGAAACTCGAAAAATAAATTTTCAAAAAATCCAAAACTATCAAAAGGTAACAGTTTACCACTAGTCCTATCTATGTGCCAAGTTTGATTAAGATATGTCTCATGGTTTTTTAGTTCTGCTCCAGAAACAAAACATGATGGACGGATACATCAACCAAGTCAGCAAGCCTGACCACCCGATCCCGTTAGTCGCCTTTTACGACGAGCAGTCGCCTTTTTATGGCAAGAATGGGTTGCTGACCTATTCTAACCCTGATCTTCACGGGTCCGGTGGTGTATCTAATAGAACTTATATTCCTCTAAATTTTGGATACAGAAGAACAATTCAATAGATCACAGAATGTGTAAACATATCTCTAAGTTATACAATCACCATTCAATTATAACAAGATACAGTCTAAGTGTTTTCACCATCTCAAACATAATGTTACACTACCTACACTCACACGCCCATCTCCCACTTGAACTTGTATCCAAGTAGAATAACAAGCCTGTGCTAATAATAGCATCACACTCGATGTCCACAAACAGCCCATTGATTATGAAGAATGAATGACCTCATTAATTATCAATACCTTTGGTCTGATTAGTTGATAACAGAGCACGCTAATTAATTGAATCTACATTCTATAGACTAGGGAGCATACCAATATGTGGACTCAAGCCTACTAGAAATGTACATTTTACAATACATTTTACAATTACTCAAGTGAGTGAGTGAGTGGGGTTTTACGCCGCTTTTAGCAATATTCCAGCAACATCACAGCAGGGGACATCCAGTAATGGGCTTCACACATTGTACCCATGTCGGGAATCGAACCCGGGTCTTCGGCATGACGAGCGAACGCTTTAACCACTAGGCTAACCGACCGCCCACAATTACTCAAGACACTGGTTAGAGTTATATAAACTCCTTTAATGATTCATGTCCTACCACACACGTTGTTGATTCAGGGAGGAATCACCAGCTGATAATGCATGTCCTACTGTCCTTCATCTTCCCGAGGCAAGAGAGTTAACTGACTTTAAACAAGTCCAGTTTCCACCCTTGCTGAACTAGGCTGGAATTACAGGGCTCGATCGTAGCGCCACCAGTGGCTATTACCAGTTATGTCCCTTCTAAGCCTCTCCTATGGACCAATCAGATTCCACCTCTCGTATCACTTGCGTTTGCTTCACACTAAACGGTGGCGCCCAGTCAGGACGATTTGATCGATAATCAAGACCTATATTGTGATAAAACGGGTCTTACATCGCGAAATGCATCAAATCACGTGAGCACCTTGATTAAAAACATGAAAGGATTGGGAAAATATCTGCTGACAACGAGTTGGCGGTGCACATGCTTTGCAAATCCTGCAATCGATTGAAATCTGCATGACAGTTTACAAACCGGATTTTGATTTCGTTGCATGATTTTGACTGGACTATGCATAGACTCGTTAGTCCAGCCAGAATGTAACTCCATAATACCAGCCTAGTTCAGCAAGGGTGGAAACTGGACTTTTATAGTCAGTTAACTCTCTTGCCTCGGGAAGATGACTGTACTGCGGTCAGCTGTTGGTTATTCCTGTTTATCACACATGTAAGGTTATTTCAGTTTGTATTATCGAATCCTGTCAGAGTCTGTGACAGCTGTGAACAGTAATAAATTAGAAATAGGGGGCTCTTATTAGAATATTATTTTGGTGGAAAAAAAACAGGGTTGAAAGATACATTTTGTGGTTTATGCTGACAGCCTGAAATGTTTATATACGAGAGATACATTTTTCCAGAATTTAATTGCTCATAATTAAGCAATATAACACACGAGTGGGTATTATACGCGAATAAATAAGTGTTGTGTACATTGATCAATCGGTATTGATAATAGGTATTGTTCACTAGCCAATATATTAGCAAATATCGCCGTGGGTGCTTATTAGAGCGGAGCGCTTATTACATTGAATACGGTATACCATGGGGAGTCGGCTTGATGTGGCAGGAATGCCCCAAGTAAGGAAGGCGCTAGGCCTTTACCACTTTGATTAACCCCACTATAGGACTAATGCCAATTTATAACGCTGTGCCTATATGTAAAGTAGCTATCAGACACACACTTTTGCTTACATTATCTTCGGCAGTTTCCTACTGTGCTCGGAAAAGTTTGTAAACATTCCTGATTAAGAAGTATTTTTATACACATGTTATATGTCAAATTAACGTTACCACCCTACAAGTTCACAAATACGTATCTGACCTTAGTTAATTAGTGTGAGATATCCCACTTCCGACACCATGTAAAAGCTGGACAAAGTCGTTCTCTGGGTCCATGTATTTTATTAATACTGAAGATGGTAGACCTAAACAATATTACACAAACTTTTAATATACTTGGGAACATCATGTATGGTCTTTCATAGATGATAATGCTGTATCTTATCGGCAACTTACACATGGATATAATAATCATACACATCTGAAAGTATCAGTTATCATACATATGATTATTAGTTCCATGTGTAAGTTGCAGATAAGATACAGCATTATCATCTATGAAAGGCCGTACACGATGTTACCAATTTTGTATATGAAAAGTTTGTGTATTATTGTTTAGGTCTACCATCTTCAGTATTAATAAAATACATGGACCCAGAAAAAAGTTTTGTCCAGCTTTTGCATATATACAAAAGCCATAGACAGGCATAATTCGGATTCAAACTATTGATCGTAGGATTTTGGCAAACCTACTTTTGGGCCCGAACATTCTGGCACTTTACATGATCATGATGATGGGGTCATTCCTCAGCTGCTCATTAATCAACTGGGCTTATGTGTAATAAATGTGTTTCCCAATACACAATGATACACAGACATAAAAACAGTAACATCTGAAGAGATAGGTTGGTCATTCAAAACATGTATCATTAATGGACATGTAAAAAACAATCAGAAGTATTGTAGTCTAGATTCTAAATGAATCCTAATCTCTCCTTCTTTCAAGACTAATTCCTTCAGTTCACATCAATAACACAGGTCAGTGTGGGATTAATATAAAAATACATGTCAGTTGTGGACTTACCATGCAAATGTCTGAAACTGAAACAATTTATAATTTTCTGGTTCTAATCTATTCAAAATGAATCATAAACATATATGTCAACACATATCTAATATAAACTCTAAATGTAATATTTAAAAATGTTTTTAAATATCAACGACATAATTTACCAGGGTACTTGTCATGACTGGCCTCTTCTATCGTCTACAGTAGCAATAATCCAACTTATTTCGACTCTCAAAGAGGTCTAGTAACTATCTCCTAACAGGTCAGCTACGTAAACTACTAAATTCTGAAAAATCAAACAATTTATATACGTTGGGCAAGATCACATGGTATGTATCTAGTCCCACCCAGAATAAGTCTTGAAATACCTAGTTCATTCCAGCTGTCCCCAGAATTGCGACTATCTCGACCTTATCTAATCGTTTGCCGTCGGCATAACCCAACTTGTCATGGTTTGTGGGTTGTTTGTTTACAGTAGGCCTAACGATAGGTGGGCTTGGCCTTCTAGGTCACTGTAGCTTCTGTTTCCAGACTGACAGGATCATTTTCTACATTTCTCTGATGAAACAGTTATCTACTAACGTATACTTACCCGTGATTTAGTGCCTAAGTAGATCTTGAACAATTGCAGTGTTTATTACGATAGTCTAGAATCACAGCTTTGACAGGGTCTAGGCCAACTTCCTATTTGTTGGACATGTACGCATGCGCGTCGATACAAGTCGATTCAATGGGAACCTACTCGTGTCACTTTCTAAAACCAACCAACCAAATGACAACTGAATAAAACAAGTTGCTTCCAAAAACTGTCAAACCCGGACGGTTTATTCAGGAAAGATCGGTCTAGGATCATACTGAACCCTGTTTGTGCTTTTGATCGAAAACGATCGGTGTAGAAAATATAATAAATGTATCCATGCGTCGATATAGTACCGAGTGTAGTACTTTTCTCTCAAAAAGAATAGATTAATCTGCGTTTTCTATCACACTATCTATAGAATAAGACGAGTTCTATGGATGAACAACTTCTTTATTACAATTGGTGCGACGTTTCGGTGTAGATCCTAACACCTTTATCAAGCAAGTGATGGATAGGGCTAAACAACATATAGAGGATTCATCACGAGTGTTTTTTTAATATGGGAAATATCAACCGAGTCTTAGTTAATCGGTATTTGCCGAGCCTTTGGCGAGGCAAATACCGATTAACGGGACGAGGTTGATATTTCCCATATTAAAAAACACTCGTGATGAATTCTATTTATCATTTTCACATTTTTGCTTCCAAATTAAGGAATAATTGCATTAAACATTAACATCAGCAACTTGTCGAAATCTTACGTATAGATCGTGCGTAGTGATACATGTTTTCCATAGCCATGTAAACCAAAATAAACAATTCGCTGAGAAAGAAAGTTCCTCGGATTATTTTAAACAAAATACTTGAACAGACTTTTGCAGAATAATTGAAACTTTAATAACGGTAACAACAACGATTCTGTGTAATCTGATTATAACTCTGGTGTAACTTCACTTATAATATATAGTTTCAAATCAAACCGCTCGCTCTTCCGGTTATCTAATTTGCATATCTAATTTGCATACTTATGTCATTGGGGTATGACATACATGTTTTTATGTCATAAGCTTATGTCATGGATAAATGCTTAAGTTAAATGATAAAGTTATATATACACTTATTGACATCTAGGTTGTTACAGTGACTAGTTGATGGGCACAGAGAGGTGATAATAAGTGTATATATAACTATGTTGTTTAGCCCTATCCATCACTTGCTTGATAAAGGTGTTAGGATCTACACCGAAACGTCGCACCAATTGTAATAAAGAAGTTGTTCATCCATAGAACTCGTCTTACTTTATCACTCCAACTTCTAAATGCCACTCAAAGAAGTTATCTATAGAATATTTAAATATTTGAATATTTGATTAAAATATCTTTTAAACAAGTAAATTCTTTGTTGAACATTTGTTGTCACATTTGAACTTATATTTTAAATATAACAACATAATGTACTTAATACAACCATACGACCATACGACCATACGATCATATACTCTATATGAATATAAGGTCTGGGTGTCGTTCTATGAAGCGATATACGGCAGTCTTAGGGCTAGGGCACCCATGCAGGGTTGCTAATTGCTAATTGCTAATTGCTAATTGTTATTATATTTTAGGCAAATTATGAAATTATGCTCTTTTTGACTGACTTTATGCCAAAATCTCGTTTCCCAATGCCACACAAATACGGTTAACTAATCTTATAAGAGATAGCCCACATGTCCCCAGTGCGTGGCGCACCCACAGCTTCCGTTCTGTCCAGTACATCAAAACAAGCCACGCAGAGCTGGACCAACTGATTGACTTCTATAAACCGCCTCCGTGGTCAATGGGATAGAGAGTCTGCCTGGAGAGCGAAAGAGCGGTGGTTCGACCCCTAGTTTATACTACTGCAGAGTAACGCCGGTTCTCTAGTGCTAGCCGTAGGCGGATCCAGATGGGTGGGTGGGGATTGGGTGGGTGGGGATGTCCCCACTTTTTGAAAACCAAATGAAGTACGTTTTGGACAACCCCCCACCCCCAACTCTAACCCCACCCACCCCCCTACTGTTATTGGACCCCTCCCGTTTAAAAAGCTGGATCCGCCCTTCCTACCCCACTGATGTACTATATGGATGGTTGGGTAACAACAAGTACCATCTTTTAACTTCAGCAACCAATGCTTGTCGAAAGAGGCGACTAACGGGATCGGATGGTCAGACTTGCTAACTTAAATTGATTGATTTCATGTCATCGTATCCCAATTGTATGGATCGATGCTCATAATATCAATCACTGGATTGTCTGGTCCAGGGCCCACTTCACACAGCGATCTTAGCGCTACGACTATTGTAAGCCTATGTTAAAGTATGGGAGTTACGTTCATCTTAGCGCAAAGATCGCTTTGTGCAAGTGGGCCCTGACTCGATTATTTACAGACCGCCGTCATATAGCAAGGATATTGCTGAGTGCGGCGTTAAACAACAAACAAACAAACAACAGTCCTTTCTCCAGCGGACTCTTCACATTCGGGTATGTAGGAGCGAGTGGAAGTGTTTGGTTTAACTCCACTTTGAACAGTATTTCAGTCATATCACGGAGTGTCAGCTCGACTCAGTTGGAAATCCTAGAGTGACACAAATCTAAGATGTTCACCAATTTAGTGAAACCCACGGTATGGTGCTGAAAACCCAAGTATCGCGATAACGACAAATGACGCCCGAACGCTTTTAACGACTTGGCTAAACCCCATTCACCTCTCCAAATAACGCCATGAATATGATGATGATATCATGAAAGTTAAGTAAATGAAAATATATAGTTTAAGACATAGACTGCAATGCAAACGCAATATTGTCACACGAGGATTTCATAAAAAAGACTAACGTTATCTTGCACTGTAGTATGGTGTCTACAACGAACCATATAGATACCGAACCAGTTATACAAGAAATCTTATTATGGCGTAGTAGATTGACCGATTTGGCTTTCTGAAGGTCAGGTCAGAGACCATAAAATAGATCTATTCTATGGTCTCTGGTCAGGTGTAGGAAATTACGACTCAGACAAGTAATTAAACTGCACATGTCAAATACACAGTGCATATCAACGAGCCTCAATGACAAGGCCTATTATCTTTAGGCCATATGTTAATTAATAGTATGCGATAATTGTGGGGCAACAGTTGTCCGGCCAGCAGAGGGCTAACTCGGCCCCGTCTCAGAGAGCGATCCCATACTTTAACATAGACTAACATGCTGTCGCAGCTGTACTATCGCTTTGTGAACCGGGCCTCTGACCAATAGCTACATTCCACATTTAAATATACTCCGAACATTCACAGTTTTTTTAGATATCTAAACATGCGACTTTGATAATTTGAAACAAACACGAACACTGTTTGTTATGGTCGTAAGTACTGGGCCACATCGCCGAATACAAAGAACACTGTTTGTTATGGTCGTAAGTACTGGGCCATATCGTAGGATACAAAGAATACTGTTTGTTATGGTCGTAAGTACTGGCCCATTTAGAGGGATACAAAGAACACTGTTTGTTATGGTCGTAAGTACTTGGCCATATAGAGGGATACAAAGAATACTGTTTGTTATGGTCGTAAGTACTGGGCCATATCGCCGGATACAAAGAACACTGTTTGTTAGGTAGTACGTACTGGCCCATATAGAGGGATACAAAGAATACTGTTTGTTATGGTCGTAAGTACTGGCCCATATAGAGGGATACAAAGAACACTGTTTGTTATGGTCGTAAGTACTGGGCCATATCGCCAGATACAAAGAATACTGTTTGTTATGGTCGTAAGTACTGGGCCATATCGTAGGATACAAAGAATACTGTTTGTTATGGTCGTAAGTACTGGGCCATATAGAGGGATACAAAGAACACTGTTTGTTATGGTCGTAAGTACTGGGCCATATCGTAGGATACAAAGAATACTGTTTGTTATGGTCGTAAGTACTGGGCCATATAGAGGGATACAAAGAATACTGTTTGTTATGGTCGTAAGTACTGGGCCATATCGCCGGATACAAAGAACACTGTTTGTTATGGTCGTAAGTACTGGGCCATATAGAGGGATACAAAGAACACTGTTTGTTATGGTCGTTAATACTGGGCCATATCGTAGGATACAAAGAATACTGTTTGTTATGGTCGTTAGTACTGGGCCATATAGAGGGATACAAAGAACACTGTTTGTTATGGTCGTAAGTACTGGGCCATATAGAGGGATACAAAGAATACTGTTGGTTATGGTCGTAAGTACTGGGCCATATCGTAGGATACAAAGAATACTGTTTGTTATGGTCGTAAGTACTGGGCCATATCGTAGGATACAAAGAATACTGTTTGTTATGGTCGTAAGTACTGGGTTATATAGAGGGATACAACGAATACTGTTTGTTATGATCGTAAATACTGGGCCATATCGTAGGATACAAAGAATACTGTTTGTTATGGTCGTAAGTACTGGGCCATATCGTAGGATACAAAGAATACTGTTTGTTATGGTCGTAAGTACTGGGCCATATCGCCGGATACAAAGAATACTGTTTGTTATGGTCGTAAGTACTGGGCCATATAGAGGGATACAAAGAATACTGTTTGTTATGGTCGTAAGTACTGGGCCATATCGCCGGATACAAAGAACACTGTTTCTTATGGTCGTAAGTACTGGGTTATATAGAGGGATACAACGAATACTGTTTGTTATGATCGTAAATACTGGGCCATATAGAGGGATACAAAGAAT